AGGCCGACACTGACTTTTCAAAACAGTTTTTTTATTTCGTATACATAGAAAACACTTTCCGTGTTTCTATAAAATTTTCCGGATATCAGTTTTTAAAAACGGAGGATTTTTTCTCCGTTTTTAAAAAAGTTCGCGTCCACACGAAGCGTATTCGAATCGTTTTGTACGTCCACACGTAAAGTGCTACTGCAACAAAATTTTCGACACTGAAAGAAACGACACTGGCCGTGCATATTATGACACCAAAGCCAATATCACTATAATTCATCATGAATGCATGTGCGCGCGAAGTATCTTCGCATTAATGATAAAACCAGCCTTTGCCTATATAGGTGTTATATGTTTCAACTTGTGCTACGATTCTTCAGACATCAAATGTATGCACAGAATCTTCTTTCAATATTCTTTTATTTAAGGGATCTTGCTAAACAAGAGTCATATACGAATCTTTGAAATCGACTTAGCCGCGCAAAGAACCGCACCATGAAACAGAAAGTCGGAACAAAATTCAATATTTTCTTCGACTTTGGCGATCCCTCTCTTTCGTTAGGAACATATGACTGTATAGATATTTCAAAATTTTGATGAATACCGGCTTAGTCGGGACTGTAAGAAACACAGCTTCTTCGTCGACGAGGCTACTTAACACTAGTATTTTTACGCCATGCTAAGAATCGGTACTCTTTTCTACGTCACAAACCACAATATGACGGAGCAAAAGTTCGCACAGCAAGTGGCAAAAATCGTGCTTCTGGAGAGCTATAAAAATCTTCTGAGGAACCAATTTTCATTAAAGATGCCTAAAGATTTTGTTTCCTTTGCTTGGTTTGGTAGACTATTCCAGTCCCATTGTAACCAAGACTCTTTTTTAAATATTCAGTTTTTGGTTTAGAGAGATTTATGTCGCAATTTCTAAGATTATAATTGCTCATATTTGTCTCCCTGGTAATAAATTCATGTTTGGAGAGCTATAAAAATCTTTTGAGAAGCCAATTTTCATTCTGTTTTCAGAAATGAAATCAGGAAAGCGAGCACTTTAAATTGAGCCAATAAAAAGGGGTCGAAAACTTCGATGCAGTAGCACTAAAATAAAGGAAAATTGTTATCGCCAGGCGTAGAGCATGCGCATTTCTAAGTAATATGAGCGCTTCGAAACGATCGCAGGGCTCGAATGCCAATAATTTATGCGCGCCTAGATAAAAACTATGTTAATTTGGCGGAATTTAAAAACAATTCCGCGTATTTGCTTTGGGTTCGCTTCATGCTCGCTCTTTCTTGAATTAAAATGACTAAATGACCAAAATCTTCGTGGTCTAGCTTGTGAGACGGGAAGCAGCTTCATCATATTTATGCACTCGCTTTTTTAAACAGTCTCCGTGCAGGTTTAGCATAGTAACATGAAGCTTAATGCATGCTATTAGACTTGAAATTATGAAATAGGCCAAAGTATAACGACAAAGCGATTTTAGTTCACCATCTTGAATAGATAAAAAACACGCGCCGTTAATGGCCTGCTATAGACTGGATCCGATTATAAACGTAATCGAATTCCAAAACCTCCGTTTTCGCCCGTCCACACGTAAACAGGAAACCGGCGTTTTCGAAAAACTCCACTCGGATTTTGTTTCCTTTGCTTGCTTTGGTAGACTAATCCATAGCGCAGCCCCACTGTAACCAAAACTCTTTTTTAAATATTCAGTTTTCGGTTTAGGAAGTCAGAGATTTATGTCGCCATTTCTAAGATTATAATTGCTCATATTTGTCTCCCTGGTAATAAATTTATGTTTTAAGTTAGGGAATCAGTGATTTTCAAAATTCTCAAATAAGAAATTTGTAGTAACTAGAAACCTTTAAGAAATTGTGTTGATTCTTATTTCTAAACACCTCGAAATTTATACTAAAACAATTAGTCGTCTCAAGCTCGGTGCCATCCCAATTTTAAAGTTAGTAAACGAAATCCATGCATCGTCAGTTGTCATTGCATGGCTAGGATATAGTTTTCGTATGCGCGCAATGGGTATGAGAATTGACATTCCAAGGATATTGAATAAGCATATTGATGCATTTGAACAGTTTTTAGTAATTATAAATTATTAAAATGTCGTTAATTTGGATGCTTTGAACAAATAGAATATTAAAATGTTGCTATTTTGAAGTATAAGATACTGAACAAGTATGGCTGATAAAGCTGCGAGGCCGATAAAGACATCATTTATACTATACGCTCAATTTATCGGCACGGCACGGCTAAATTGGATATACCATTTCGTAATCACCTCGGCTCCGGCCTAATTGTTAAAGTTAAATTAATAGAATTACTAGAGGGAGTTTGGGAGAACGAGAGATACTCAGTTGGAAATGAGCTCGTATAGGGCGAGTTTTCGCCACGCGGTTTTCTACTTAACAATTATACAACTGAATGAGCTTAATTCTTATTAGATAATTAACTTTTAGCACGTTCTGCATGACATCCCTGTCAAGATTATATAACACCACCCAAAAAAAAATCACATCGCGTATCGCCCGCAAGGTTTCTAGATCTAGAGACATGAGATGAAGCACACTTGAGCTGAGATGGCAAATAGATGGAATACACATGATAAATTAGATGGAAAAAAGATATATGCTTTAAATTCATGAAATATTTCAAACTTATTTACATTTACTGATTAATACCTTTAGGTCTTTTATCCGTTCTTTACAGTTATGAGTATGTAAGACACACTTCCAAATTGCTCACAACAATGCCAAAGCTGAAGGATGATATGTGATATTTTTATATGAACTTTGAGAGGTTTTTACACCATTAGTTTGTAAACCTGTGGCTATAATTCTGAGGCTTAAGTTTGTTATCGTCAAATTATTTGTGCTACATACATGGACGGCTAATCAAGCGCATAGAACACCATGCAGTTCAGTGGGATGGGCCCAGGAAAATTTGCATTCCCTCTCCCCGAAAACTTAGCTTCTACTAATCTTCTTTGCCATAACAGCTGTCTGCATGCTTCAAATCGTTTGTGCAAGTCATACTTTGTTCAGTGGCATTATTTAACCTTTTTGCACACCAAATTTGAAGTCTAAGTATAAATTCAGCAAATCTACGACGCGGACGTGAAGTAAATAAATACTGCTCCAATTTTCCAGCCTCGTACCCAGGCGCTTTAATAGTAAAATATGTAACGTTGCATTCAGGTCTTATGTAAAGATCAGCAGAAAAAAGCAAGGGCGCAGGGGTGCTTGGGGTGGTATTTTGCGAGGAAGCGCCTGGCAGAAAATGACCGATTTCTTGCAAATCGTGACCGCTTTCTGGAAAACGCTTGTATTTTGCAGTTTATATTTTCTTTATATATAATTTTTTTACTGGATCGACTGCCGATGGCCTAGCCAAGTATTATAAACGTTTCCTTTGGTGAAGAATCATCTGAAGGTACTTTTTTTAAAATATTTTCCGTCGGAGTGACTATATTCGTCGAGTACTCGAATAATCGCAAGCCGTATTTACATATTACTATTGGGAAATGCGAGCGCATTTACAACATATTAAGAGGTTTCTGTTCATGATATAAACTGAGATCAACTCATATTCCTTTATTTACAGGTTTAATAAACCGATGATGAATTCAAGGCGAATTACGCGTTATGGCAACAACTTGAATTTAAAAGTAAATTGATTCCATACGTAATACTTATTGGATATAATTTGTAACATGAAATGTTCAATATTAATCAACCTATAACATTTTTAAAAACCGGTGTATCTGTAAAAACCTGGATCTAATTCAATTAAGTAATTATAGTATATAATTATATTGTATTATATTATATTGTATAATTCATTTGATTACATGTTGAATTCATTTTCTGTCAGGCGCTAAATTTGGCAAAACCACCCTAAGCACCCTCGCGCGCTCGCGTTTTTTAGCTGACCTCTATACAATAACTGAATGCAACATTATTTTTTACCTTGAAAGCGTCTGGGTACGAGGCTGCCAATTTTCACAGTCTCCCAACACAACCCCAGCCTAGTCCCAGGCCTCGTAAGCGCGCGCTGTTAATTATACAGGATAGGGGGGCCCACGCTGAGAGCTGCGTTCAAACCGGTTGAGTCACAAGAATGCAAGGCGCGGCTAAAGAGGACTAGGGACTAGTCTGACACAACCCTAAGCCTAACCACCCTAACCCGTTAACTCCGGCGTGCCGCGCACGTGCCAGTCTTGAATATAAAGCTTCTGAACATAAACACTACAGTTCATACTCATTGTTTAAAAAGCCTTGCAAACCTAAATGCTGTTCGATATTCAGACAGCACACCGTGCTTAAAAAGTATAGAAGCGTTGTGAGCCTAAGTTCAAAAATACATCTACACTGATACGTCTACATAGGGACATGACTTTCACCTTGTCTTCCGCTTTTGAATTCGTTAATAACCTTAAAGCTTATATTACCGTGCAATGTGTATAATGTGTTCCCGAATGAATGTAGATGGTTCGTGTTGTGTTTGTTCGTATTCTTCAATCGTGTGTGACGTGTCATCGCGCCATACACGACCACATCTTATTAAACGGCGAAATGGAGCGATATTAATAAAATGGGACGGTTAATATTATTAAAACGGTTTATTCCTTCCTCATGGAGGAATTGCTGTATCATGCGAGCGAAGTCAAATCGCAGCGCGCATCGAAAAATTTGCCAAAGATTTCGAGCAGTGAACCACAACTCTTGCGATGTATCACATACGCTCTTCAATGAGCGTTGCATCCATTCAAGTCATGGGTACAAATGAGCATTCACTACTAGTATATTTCGCGCCAAAACACACTTGCGATGAGAGAAATAATAAAAAGAACAAAACAAAAACCAGGCGAAGTAAAAATTTAAGTCTTCCACGGCGGAGTAATAATTTAAGAAAAACCGCACCATTTGGTAACAGTTTTACTCTATTTTAAATAATAAAAACTCTATTTTACAACAATTTATTTGCGAGAATTAAGTTGCCCCAGCTGAAAAGAGCGTGCTAGAATTAGTAGAAATTTCAAAATTTGGTGGTGAAATGTTGTAAAATATGGAAAATATAGCCTTGCAAAGTTTGAAAATTTGTATACCTTTTACTACAAACGAAATTATTACCACATTAATTCAAGCCAAAAACGGTAACAAATTTTGTTTGCCGTAAAATAGTATACAATTTTTTATATTTACAATTGTAATCTGCATCGCGAGTTTGGAATTGGAAAATTGACAACAAGATGGCGGAACGCGAACTACGAGATTCAATTATGCAGTTATTACGGTTAGCCGCAGGGGTGGATCAAGCACTAGTGCACTAATTTACATTACAAAACAAAGTGGTTATTTTTAGCAGTTTTCTTGTGTCTTGCAAATTAGTGCACTTGTGCTGGAACAACCCCTGCGGCTAGGCGAAATGAAAAGCGCATCACATCAAAAGCTTAACCTGATTAGTCTTATATGCAGTTTTCACCTCGCCTAGGCGGGATAACTCGCTCCATATAAACAGCCATAAATGATGTTATGACTGTCATCTAATCAGATCCTGACCCTCATATTTCTTATCAAATTCTCAATAGCTCTGAAACTATTTATCAAAGCCTTGCTGTTCTTTCAGCACAAGATCCTGATGCGTGTAACGGATACCTCAACCAAGCTAGGCTATTGATTTCTACTTTGGAGCGCCCTCACCCTGTTAATGAAAACAACGAAGCAGGAGGAGTATCAGCGTCGAATGCCGGGAGATCTAAATTTGATATTTCTAGAGACCAATTAGCTTACTTAATTTAGCATAACTTTACGGCTGTGAGCTAGTAGAGCAAAAATGTTCGACATTTCCTTGAGCACAGTCAGGAGACGAATGCGCGAGCAAGGACTTGGCACCTCACTTGTTTAGTTCTTGTTTGTCTCCTGACTGATGGGTTAAACCAAGGGAGGTTGTATCTCGAGCTAGACAACTTATTAGGTATACAAGTGTCCTTTATTCTTCGAATATTTTCTTCAAAGTCGTCCCATGCACATCTTGTTAACGAAGCTCCACTGGAGCTCCAAAAATTCCAAATCCTCCTCATGATCCAGAACCATAAAGTTGCCGCGTCCAGCTAAGTAAGCATCATTCATGTCTTTTAGCATCATTCATATCATGATGCTAAAAATCATTATTACTTGAAATATAAATAAAAATGGTCAGTAGTCCAGACATATTATCATGTAGCCATTTCGGCTATGCGGGTATAACTCAATTTCTTCATTCCGGTGTCCAGGAAGAGTGTGTAGCACGCTTTTTCGATCTTCTTTCTGTGTCCAGCGAAAAAGAGCATCATTCGTGCGTACCACCAATCGTGGCTTAAATAATCCAGTATACAAGCATCAATCCGGCCATGTTGAGAAGCCGATGGCTGCCCAATCTATTTTGATTACCCTTTTGCCGTAATGGAGCTAAAAAGGAAGATTAAATCAGTAAATAATTATAGCGTTCAACTGATCCTATAGCTATATAATTTAAAGAGCTTTTTGATTAAAAAGTGTTTGTTTTTAACTTCACGTAATGAATTAATGGATCGACCTGTATTATTTGAAAGAGTATACAAAAAGGTTATCAAGATTTTCTACAGCTTCCGCATAAAATGATGTACTTGAAGGCATTTTCATTCTCAGCTATATAGAGGTACTCTTAGAGGGATTATAATTACTATAAGAGGACGATTACTTAGGGACCTTGACTTAACGGGTGTTAGAAAATATTAACTAAGATCGATGACATAAAAAGGGCAAACTGGCAAAGTAGACTGTGTAGATTTTTTACGAAAAATGATCCCCCTTGGTTCCAAGGTTTAACTACGTATAAATGTTGCAACATACAACTATATTCCGGATTGTCCAGCTCATTCTAGTATCGATGCCAGTGGTAATGGATAATATCAAAATTAATAATAGAAACGTCATCAGTCAAATTTAAATCAGTCTCCATACTTGCAATCAGACAACTATAGTGGGTGTTAATTGTATATTATATACGTGGTTAGGATAGGAGAATGATAGCCAAATAATTTACCAACTCACATATTTTTATTTCACGTGGTTTTGTACAGGAAGAATTAACAAGCTTCTCAACCTTATTCACGGAACATACACGTATTTCATAACGATTCTTATCGGTCAATGTAACACCTGCCGAAAGCTCAGTTGTGCTTTTACGTATTTCACGTCTGTCCTCTCCGGTTACAATGACTTCATACTTGATTATCGTACTTCCACCATCACTTTTTGGTTGACACCAAAAAAGTCGCACATATCTACCTCCGTTGGTGACCTGAACGTTTAGTTTCAATGGCGGACCAGGATTAACTAAACGAACAACTTTTTATTAATTATACTATATTTTTTATACTATATTTTATACTAAATTAACACTGATAAGCAATATCAGGTGGAGAATAGACTTTTTACATGCATTGAAGACTTCCATTTCACAAGCAGACTTCCTTTTCACAGCTAAACTGAAGAGCGCACTAAAATCAGTAAAAGTGCAGCGTATGCATGGTTGTAAAATTCGGTAAAATTCGGAAAATATAGGCTTGCAAAAGCTGCCTTTGAGTACATTAATTTTGTATTACCTACGAAAATTGTTACCATTTTCAACCCAATTTGCAATTTCACTAATTTCAGTATACGCTCTCGTATGCATGGACACGTTATAGCTTTATAAGTACAAATTGCAAATTAAAAGTGGGAGTGTAAAATTAACCATACCGGCATTGAAATGGAAAGAAGTGATATAGGTATACTGATAGATGTGCCAAATAAAATACAAGGATCATTTAAAACCTAAAGAACATAATTGCATATGAGCTTGTATCTTACGTACCGTTATTATGCAATTGTATTCTTAGGTCTTAAATTATCCTTGTACTCTATTTGGCACATCTATCAGTAGCTATAATAGATGTATCACTTCTTCCCATTTCAGCGCCGGCATATGGTTAATTTTACACTCCCGTTTACAGCGGTTATACAGGGTTACGACTATATATTAGTGTCTGTGAAATTGTGAAATCCGCTGAGAATTACAGAGAACCGAACAAATAATTCGGTTTTTCCTTATTTGAATGCATTTTTAATTATACTCAAAAATAAATTTCTTTCTCGATTCCCGTTTTCTAAAATTTTGGCTATTTTTTCGTGCAGAAGTTTGCGTCGGTCAATGAAAACTATTATACCGCCGAATATATAAATTCTTAAGTATCGACTGTATCGTAGCTACTATGTTTTATAAGTTTGTAATATCTAGCGTAACTCACATATTTGCTGTACAAGGATTTCGTGTTCTACAATCGTCGCCTCCGTCGAAATTGTGCATTTATATCTCGCGAAGTCTTTGTCGGATTGTGGAATAAAGGTATAAGAGGTCTTACTTCCTCCCTTTTTAATACCGCGCGTTATATCTTTCTTCTCACTGACGACCTGCCACATGTACGATGTCTTTAGAATCCTATTCCTGAAAATGGCACATTTCAGAACAGTCGGTTTTCCAATCCAGGATTCCACGACGTTGTCCGTTTTCTTGCTATCCAACATCAAGTCTTTATTGCAAAAAATATAAAATGTATTAGGCAATAGAAGAAGAGTATAGTTACAGCGAAGTTTTTTTCATGAATGTGACTCTTCTCGAAAATTCCGCGTCATAAATATTTCAATATCACGGTTTATATTGCGTCCTTAATATCTCAATGCATGGCCAAATTGCAATTGTGAACTGCTTTCTGTTATGCATGTATAAAGTTGAGATATGCAAAAAATTAAACCTCTAAATTATATCGAGATGATAAATGTTCTTATTTTTTCACCTAGAATCAATGTCAATGCCAGGAACTGGTGTCCAAGTAAATCAAATCATCTTTAAAACGTTGAAGAAAGCATATTGTTAGCATTAAATACGCTGGTTAAAAGCTTCATGGACCACCCTGGTACATTATGCTCAGCTCTGATTTGTGTCAATGTGATAAAGGTTTTGTTAAAGATGATTGAAGTTATATATTTTCAGTGATTTATATAATTTAAATTATCCTGTTCATAATTTAAATACTACGTACTAACAATTATTATACATTATATATATATAAACTTAAGTCTCTTTCAAATGAACTGATATATAGGATTATAATTATGCTTGTATTTCATATAGGATGCAAGCGTTTGTTTGAATTTTCGAAACATAAAATCCATACTGGGACAATATACTGGTACAACCTAGAGGTAAAAGAGAGTTTAAGCTTGTTAGGGATATCATACTTAAAAATTTTCATGTCCGCAGAATATACCGAGACATCTTCCATTTTCACTGACAACCTCCTAGTCTCTTTTCGGCACAACAAAAATATCCCGGACACATTGGTTCACAGCTCTCTACAGCAAAACTGTTCAGAGCCCAATGGCACATTCCCCTGTGGCATTGGCCAATGTAAAGCATGCTCAATTACTGATTCCAGCACAGTTATTTCGGCTCTTAATTCACAGTTTCATTAAGCAACATTTCACATGCCTCTCATCCAGCCTCATTTATTGCATTTCATGAAACAAATGTGGTTTACTATTCGCGGCGCTTATAATGATATGCGAAGTGGAAAGAGTGAGTATTAGAAGGAATTTAATGGTTGAAAAGGCATGGACAGGCGCAGAAATGACTCCCAGTGGTATTAAAAGGGTGTGTGCTACCGCAGGATGACCTTTTTGCTCAGTTCAGTCCGGCCGCGAAAGGAGTACAGAAAAATTATTGTACAGCTCGTAAATTTTGTCAGAAGTATGGCTGAATGCGAAGCGGTTCAATTTCCACAGCAAGAGCCGCCACAAGTAGCGATGGATCAAGAACCAGAACCGGCCCCAAACCTCGAAATGCCGTGGATGATGCAAACGTTAATGGCCAGGAAAATGAAGGAAATTTGGAGGTATAATTGTTTGTGACGATATTAATTTTAATTTAGTTGGTCCTAAATATATTTTATAGCTTATAAGTCAGTATTGCATGAGAAACGTTTACTTATGATGAATATTAATTACTCCCTAGAAAGATAAGGGATATTGTTTACATTTTTTAATCTCCCCACTGAGCAGAGAGGTGAGTGCCGCGAATAGTATACTATATATCGGTGAAACTAAGATCTCTAGAGATACGTTTTTATAAGATAAGACAAGGTTTCCCTAAGATAAGGTCTTTTTAAGAAAAGTTTTTCATTACTGTTGCCAGAGACGTGCCGGGCGGGAAGCGTATTCGAAATATAAATATTAAAGCCCAACATAGTGCTTTCAGTAAACCGATAAGAGACAATTAAACAATTTGAGAATAATAAGAATATATTTGGTATAGTAACGTTTCGTCTTAACTTAAGATATCTTCAGACTAAATGATAAATTACCTGATAATTTGAATATGTAGACTAGTAATATATTTACAATGTATCAATTTACAAAAGGTGATAACAAGAACAAAGTGAGGACAAACAGTACATGAGAGGACAAGGGACAAAGACGTCACGACACGATGACAATACGAAGTAAGGACTAAAATAAATCGAAGGGGATAGAGTTGCCTTTAACATTAAGAGAGGGCTTAAGTTCCCTTAAGCTCCCTTTTACTGGGTTACACTCTATTCAGATTCGCACTCAAATCAACTGTCTTTGTAGCGCCGCTTTTCCGCATATAGATGTTAGATTTGTTTTTCGTTCCACTAGGCGGCTTTCTTTACTCTCTCCTTTCAAAGATAAAGTCCTGAGATCTGGTGTAGTTTATTACTCCGGCGTCAGCGACGGAGTTGAAAATTCGCCTCGGTTTTGTTTGTTTTTTTTTGTTTTTTTTTTTTATTTTTCGTCGTCGCAAGTCTGAAATGGCGCGAAACATTCTAGTATTTTAAACGCGTATGTGACCGTATTTATCTACGTCCCAGTCTTATCTCCCAAGAGTAGTGGTGCACAGCTTTGGCTAATTTTCCGATGCGCGATTCGATTTCGCTCGCATGATACGGCAATTCCTCCAAGAGGAACAAATAAACCGTTCTTTTCATGCTTTTCGATTAAGTTTAGATTAAATTGGGGTAAGAATATATTTAATACATGTAGATTCTGGTCCTATGGGCGCGTTGACACGTCGAAGTTTGCACAGGATTGAAGATATAATATATAAGCGCGAATGCCAAAGGCAAAGTGTAAGACAAAGCGAATGTATCATGCGGTTTATTTACATTTTTGAACAATTGAACTTCTATACTTTTTAAAGTACGATGTGCTTCTGAATTTCGCGATCGAACATTTAGGTTCGCAAGGCATCTAAATGCGAATATGAACTGTATTGTTTATGTTCAGAAGCTCTATATTAAAGACTGGCACGCGCGCCGGAGTTAACGGCAGAACAGGCGTCTTGTTTATTTAAGTGTCGATGCTGTTCCGCGTCGCACGCGGGTCAAACCACGCGTCATCTACATACCAGAATATCAGAGCACTTGGGAGGGAAAATCATCTATCACTGGTAAACAAACCTCAAGCCCTGTTATGTCCAGTATACATTCGCACTTATTAAAGGCTTACGGACACTCGGCAAGCTTTGACGAATTTAGAATCCTCTCTTCCTCATCTGACTCTTATCAGCTAATGATACATGAGAGTCTCCTCATCACCAAACTTAAATCTTCCCTTAATGCTCAAGGCAACTCTATCACACTCAATTTATTTTAGGAAGTAATTATAGAATACCCCGCCACATGTAAGTGTTGCTTTCCTGTGGCTACCTGGCAACATACATGCGAACATCTCTTCCTTTACCAACACGACTATATGGCTACATGGCTACGTGGCTACATGGCTACATGGCTACATGCGTGGCCACATGGCTACGTGGCTACGTGGCTACGTGGCTACGACGATGGCTACATGACTACGTGGCTACGTGCTTAATGGCTACTTGCCAACTGATGCATGGCTATATGACTACTTGGCTACATGGCTACTTGACCACTTGGTAACCCTATCCCTAACCCTCACCCTAACCCTAACCCTAACCACCAACCCCTTACGTAATTAAAATCCCGATACTTACTAATTCTGCACAAAACCATTAAAATACCGAAATATTAAAATACACACTTCTTAAAATAGAACCTTAATTCCAATAATTTGCTAACTTCTATTATTCAACGCCCTATAAAACAACCAGTTGAATTACTTTAACACAGTGTTACTCACTAAAAAGCCTCCTAAACAAGCACCCTCAAACTTTAAATACCGTAAAACCCTAAATGTAACCAAAAAATAAACACGTAGCCACGTAGCCAGCTTACATAGTACTCTCGCATGCGGGGTATTCCATAGTTGTACCTATTCTAGTCCTTACTTCGTATTGTCATCGTGTCGTGACGTCTCTGTCCCTTGTCCTCTCATGTACTGTTTGTCTTCACTTTGCTCTTGTTATCACCTTTTGTAAATTGATACCTTGTAAATATATTACTAGTCTACATATTCAAATTATCATGTAATTTATCATTTAGTCTGAAGATGTCTTAAGTTAAGACGAAACGTTACTACCAAATATATACTTATTATTCTCAAATTGTTTAATTGTCTCTTATGGGTTTACTGAAAGCACTATGTTGGGCTTTAATATTTATATTTCGAATACGCTTCCCGCCCGGCACGTCTCTGGCTGTTGTATTGAAGGGTAAGGTTTGGTGAACACCGTAGGCCGGTCAACAACCATGATAACACCAAGCCTGTTGCCAGACCATTTTGTCACTATAAATGAATTTATCAAGCCATTCTCCCCTAGGCTATCTAACTACCGGATGAGCAAGTCAATACACTGCATGCATGCATTTATTGAGCCAGCGTTTGCAATTAAGAATTAGTATACACCCGACTATTGTCTATTACAAATCCTACATTCTGATTGGCTACTCAACCATTGTCTATTCGTGATGGTGCACGGTTGGGAAAATTTCGCTAGCGCAACCGTATAAAATTGAATTATTTTTCGGTGTAATTGCGGTGTATTGATTATTTTCTCGAAATTAATATATCTAGGTACATGGTGTATACTAAAACAATTAGACAACTCGCCTTCGTTGTCTATGAGCGAATAGACAACTCGGACTCGTTGTCTAATTGTTAAATAGAAAACATTTTCCGTGTTTCTATACAGTTATAGAAACACGCGTGAGAGTTTGGGAGAACGAGAAATAATCAGTGGAAAAACGAGCCCGTAGGGCGAGTTTTTCCACGTTACTTCGAGTTCTCCCAAACTCCCACAAGTGTTTCTATAACTGTATAGAAACACAGGAAAAAATGTTTTCTATTTATTTTATAATATAACTCAATAAAAAGATTTTGTACAAATATTATAATTCGATTCAATTACAAATTCTCATTACATTACTTCGCTTGACAAGTTCGGCGGGAAAATTCCCGTGTTTCTATACAGTTATAGAAACACGCTTCTCGACCAATCAGCACGCGCGTACTATAAATGTTATATTATAATGCTTATTATCACACTTACCTACGACTTTCAAAAACGACGTATTTGACGCAACCGTGTCTATTCCCAAATGAATTTTCGTTTCGTACTGGGCACTGTCGTCTACTGTAGTGTTACGTAATTGACAACGCAACGACCAGATGTCATTTTGAAAATGAAAAGAGCAATTCGCCCGATTATGTATATCTAAATTCAAGAGGGGATGCTGGGCATTTGCCACGGAATTGTTCACCATAACATGTATAAGCTTGATGTCATCCAACAAGTTGTCGTTTGAATGAATGAAATGCCACGACACAGCAGTGATCGTTTTTGGCCGAAAAACCCGAAATTTCCAAGTGAAATCCACGTCACTTCCGGATAGGACTTTCATGTAAGGTGGAGGACCACTGTTTAGAGCAAACACTTCGGATCTAGCTTTCACTGTTTCTCCTTTGAAGAAAGATTTTAGCACTAAAATTACTGTAAAAGAAAATTAATTTTCTGTTGGGATCATATCCAAGAAATATCGATAGAAATAAACCATAGCAAAGAACGTTATTTCCCTCTAAAATGTTTGACAGTGTATCACTTCATTCTAATTCTTTACGCATGCAGCCGTAGTGTGAGCTCTTCGAGATGCTAAAAGGCATTACTGACCAGAGTTTACTAGTGGGAAGGAATTGGTGTTATAATAGGTTCCGCGTAAATCTATTTTGCGTAGAATTTTCATTTTTTGCAAATGAATTTCTCCATATTATCGCCAAAGAAGGACAAATCTACACTGTCATACTCTTTAGAAGGAAAAATGAAATGAAAATTATTCACTGCCAAAAATGTCTAATGCCTGCATCTCACAGGATCTCACGAATATTTTTCATGCATTTTATCGCATGCATTGCATCATTTGCATGCATGTGTCGTGGTTGAAATTTTGCTGAGACTTGATCACTTTCCTCTTGGCTCAGAAGATCACCTTTTTTTCTTTGCATGCAGAATGATTGAGGGCAAGACAATATAAAAAAAAGAACAATATAAAAAGAAAACTAGCTGTAATAATCCTTCCATTCTTAGGTTGTGTTTATAACGTGCTTGAAAAAATTTTTCTTCTTGGCAAAAAGTTTCAGTCTCAATTAGGAGTTGTCATTTGTCTTCACCGCATCCTTCCCACGGTCAATTCTTGCTTTTGTTTGACCAAAAGAGAAAACTCTAATTTTCTCTCCCGCTTGTTATGCAGTGTTTATATCTGCCTCCCACGAGTGAGATAGGCAGTAAAATATAAACAGATAGGCATAACAACGAAGTGGCGTATCAAGCATACAATCAAAACTACATGGAACCATTGACACATCTGCCTTGTAAAAAAAGTTAATTCCTTTCTCTTAATTTTATCATTCGTGTATTTCAAAGCGTGACAACTAATTTTCGTAGGCTATATTTTGTTTAATATGCTTTGTATATTTTATATATGTGCTTCCAACAGGGAGCCGCAAAAATAAAGTGTCCAAATTACGTTCAAAAAATTATGTTTGTGAAAATTTGTCACTAAAATTAAGTGACATAAGATTCTTTTACGTACTACAGTTACCCGAGAATAAAATAAGTCGATATTACGGCATGGGTAAAGTGCAAAATTTCAAACAAAGTAGAGTTTTTGAGTAAAATCCGTTATAATGAAATTTTTCATATAATTGGCAATTATATAACACTGCTCCGTTACCTCGACAAGATGCATTTCATTGTGTTCCATAGCGTAATATGACTGCAAGCATTCTATACTCCTGGCAATTTGCCGATTCACCTATTGAGAACTACATATGCCACTAAATGATCCAGACAATTGTTATGATCTAACGATTCTGTAGCATATGCAATGCAAAATTAAAGAAAGTAAATGGTTTTTTACTAACCTTGGCATATTAAAATTAAAGCGAAGAGCATCGCGAGAACTAATTTGAAGGTTGTTAGCCTCAGCTGTCGAATTTTCATGACAAATTCGCCGATTCAATCCAGCAAGATTGTCGAGCCTCCTAGGTTGTGATGTGGTGTAGAGCCTAGTGATAAGCGAATAGCGCCCTGACCCAGTGTGTATTGTTTCTAATCCATGCAGATGTCAACTCACTGTTATTCCAGCTGTGATAAAGACCTCAAACTCCCTCACAGAGAGCCGCAACGACGAATGCAATTCTGACGAGATTTCTATAATCGTCTGATGTAGTAGGTGGCTAACTTTTAATTATATAGTAACGTTCTCAATCCATGTAATCCTTTTCTCTGTTTCGAACCGAAAAATTTATAATATTCCCCAAGTGAAATATTAACCTAGTTTAACGGTTTATATAGAAGACAAAGGTACTTATCTAAATCTAGCAAGAACCAACTCCTTATCGTTTATATTTCGCCGGTATTGAAATTGATAAGGACACTTGCAAATAACTTTTGTCTACTGAAAATTCCATTTGTGGGGAATGCTGAGTAACGCTGATAATACTTATGTATTATGTATCAATATACAACAGAATATATATTGACAAAAAAAGATGGAATGAAGAATATAATCGCTGAATTTTGCTATTGGTCCTTGAATCGTAAACGTGCAAGAATGGATGTGAAATTAAGCCTAAATATCATAGTTTGACTTCGCTTCCTCGGAGGTAAACCATTTGCTTTAGACGAACTGACCAAACAAAGGCATCTTTAATTGTGTTGTTAATGTGCCTAATATAAAAGGTGAAAACAATGAGTAACGAGCTTCTCAAAAAGAAAACGCTGATAATGCCCTGGTTTTTAGCGGAAGAAAGAAGCAAAAGGTGACATGGCAGCTGCACGGGATATTTATATCATAGCGTTTCATATTGCTTCGACGTATAGTGCAATCCTGTTATGCCGAACGCCAAATCCTTTGTGATAATTAAAGAAAATCAGTTTATGTTGCGGCCTGCCATAATGTAATATTCACTCATTAATAATAAAACTTTTTGATGAGTCAAGTCTCGTATAAATCACAAGACAAAACAAAGTTATTCCCCGAGAAAGGTTTTTAAGAATGCACGCCAACGTTTATATGACATTGTCTTCGCAATATAATAATATCGATTGAACAATAATATATTATGAGCTAGGGCGACATAAATTAGCTGATTTTTATTGAAACGATTATTCGGGAATCTGTTTGGAAGTAGGAGATATAAATAGTCTTTGTCTTCGCAGTTAAATTTTATGCAACAAATCAATTTTTTCACATAAATTTTGTAAGTTACAATATATGTTAAATCGAATATTGAACGTATACTAGATTTCTCTGAACACAATTCTTATATGTGTTAAATATATTTCCCAATGAGCATAATATTATTTAGGGACGCTGTAGTCTGTAGAGAAACGCTTGTAATAAACAATTGTTGATTTTTTGTAGCTAATTATTTTGTTCATGAATATCTGCATGATGTAATAAACAACACCCAAAACCTCCTCATATTTTTACCGGGATTAACACTGATTTCCCTGTCGACTTACAGGTTGCGATGTACAAGTTTATGTCGACAATATAAAAAAATTATCAACACATTGTCCCAAAAATAATGTTACCGAAAAAGTAAGTCGAAAAAAATAAGAGAAATTGTCATCTTAAACGCGGGAGGAGATTCAGGAAATAGATTACAGTTTTACTCCAAGTAAAATCACCCTATAAAGCTAAAAATTTTTCCCGGTTTTAGAACTGATAGATCTTTCCCCAACGGGTAAAAAGCAAGGAGTCAGCTGCCCCATATCGGTTATTTTATTACGTCTAAGATGATGTCCATAATTATCATGTTGTTTTGCGCCGAAAGACGTTCTCGATTCGAAGGATTGGACAATGCTACGATTGCTACTACCAATTAGATGGTTCAATAAGGCCTCTGGATTGGCACTTCCAGATTATCTTTCGCCCATCTGACAGACGGTCAAAAGGTTTCCAAACGTTTTTCATTTAAATGATGTAAAATTAATTTTGCATTAGCAAGGTTACCGTAGGCGAACCTGCGGAATGTCATCATCGTTCTTTTTGGCGTTGAAGTACCACTCTGATCTTAAATGAATGAAGGTTGCGGACTGTTGAAGTTGAAATAATTTAATATCAAATATAGGTTATGGGTTGCTGTTTAATCAACACTTCTCTTGCACCGTCATTATAATATTGGGTGTTCACTGTTCAGTTTCATCGTGGTTTTTACTGCCAATGTTCAGGCGCTTTTTGATGCCGATCAATCAGTTTGAAAGAATACAAGGGCAACTCAGACGTCTTGTTGGCGATCTTCGTTTAGTAAATAATAGTTACTAGCTTATATATTACTCCCTTATGTGTATATAAGGAAGCTAGTATTTATACTTCAAGTTATATTCTACTTTAAACGAAAATTAAAGGGATATTGATTTGACTTGATGTTCTTAATTAACTCAAGTCCAATATACTGCATATAAATGAGAGGATAAAAGCTGTTCAATTTAAGAAAAATCATGAAAGACTAATTAACACCATGTCCACTTACCTCTAGAATTTTAATATTTAAAAATGTTTGGAATTTATACTTGGAGACTACATTTTACTTTAGCACGCATCCATTAAAAACAAGACCACAACCGACATGGGAATAATCCTATACTGTTTTAATATTTACATGCATAAAGTAAATCTGGAGAGAAACTTCCATTAGCTTCCACTAAAATAGATGCATAATAATTATGAATGAGGCCTTGCTATCACCTTGTTATATCAATTATTTTTAATGTATTCTTCAAAGGCTTGAAAAATTCAAAATTTTAACACGCTAAGGACGTCACTGATACTGTATGTGCATGCAGTAAGATATTCTATCACCGTTGGGTCAGATGTTAACCACGGGTTTTCTCCAAAATTTCCATTCAGTGAATATGAGGTGAACCGACATTTGGCCATTATCATCACTAGCGTATTAATAATTCTAATTCTAGCAGAACTCCATTCTTAAAACAAAGGTCTGTTATTCCTTTATACTATTTATGTTGATCCCCTATCTAGGTTGCTGACAAAGTCAAGGGCTCTATGCATCATATCTGGTGGCTTTATGCTGGTTTTACGCTGCCAGCATTGATAATTGGGAGGGGGGGGGCATATTCATATATTCATGATAAAAGACAGTACAGACAATTGATTATAAATTATATGAATATATGCCCCACCCTCTCAATTATCGGTCAGGCTACAACTCTGGTTTTACCAATAGTTGCTTTAAGTGTTCTGTTTAGCACTTTTGGGGCTCTTCGTATTTTTCGCCTTGCCATGCAGCACTAATCACTTCATCGACCTTTGTCTACAAGAAGATATACTTGGGAATGAAAGAAGGGAATGAAATGCTTGCAACGTTCCGAAGTGAAGCCATTCGTAAACGGAATTGTGCGCATAAATCAGAGATGAAATTATTCCTCTGCGAGGTAAGACATGTTTTGGTCTTGCTTCCCCGTCGTCGTTTGTTTTCATTTGATCACTTTAGGACCAACTATGTTTTATCCAATATTCTTTTCGTGGCACGGTCGAGATTAAGCCGGTTTTCCACTAGGCGGAATTTTTCGATCGAAAACACCATAAAATCTCAAAATTGTTTATTTATAATGATGGATTTGTCAGCACATGTGGTAACGCGAAAAGATGTCGCATTAACCATTTTACTTAGCCTCTGCGGGAAGACTATGTAGCAGGGGTATTTAGCGTCCCGCCATTCCTTCCTAGCTGAACCGGCTAGCCTAGAGAATATTCAATTTGGAAGAACCAAAGATTGTTGAACCTCTTAGACGCGATAGAGCCTAGTGATAAGCGATCCTGTTTATCAGTATTGGTTCTAGCCCATTCAGATGTCAACAGACTGTTATTCCAAAAAGACCTAAAACTCACGTACTCCCTCACAAGCCGCAACCACAATTATATAATGTACTGATAAGGTACCCCTCACTGGCGCCGCACTAGCTAATAAAATTAATGATGAGTTTTCTATGATTTCCCATGTATACTCTTCTCCAAAAAACTCCTCCAATTTTTAATGCGTCTATTCAAACCGCACAAGTCCCGAATCGTTGGAAGTGCGCTAATGTTATCCCTATTCTGAATTCACACAGTCTCAATAATGTCAACCGGGACTGAGTAAAACCGATTTCCATTATTAAAACGCTATCGAAGTGTTGCGAGCGTTTTGTTACTGACTGGGTTATTAATTGTATACGTGGTAGAATTCACAGGCGGCGGTTTGGAGTTTGAATAACTCATCTACTATATACGCATGCATTGGTCACCCTTATTCACCATCTGTTGCAGGAAGCTAACGGGACTGGCAATTCGGTTAGATTGCATAGCAACAAAAACATCGAAGAACTTACGAGGCTGAAAAAACAACTATTTATAAGGATTTTTTATTTATTTAATTAAAATAGATTAGGATTATATTTTTTCTAAAGGTATACACGACCCCACAAGCTTTTTATGCTCTAACTATTATCGTGTTTAAAATAAATAAAGTCATTAGGTAATAATTTTTTTTCGGAATTCAGAATCCAACATCTATTTGCAAGAAATTAATTGAGCTCATTTTAGCAGCAAGTTACATTTTATTTTGTTTGGCTATGCCTTAATTTACTGTACTGGGGAATGAAGCTGATATTTGTTTTCTTTTTTACTGTCATTAAAGGGAAATTTTGTTTTGACTACCGTTCTTGCAACTGCTATAAGATTGAATTGACGTGATATTTCGTACTGAGGCCAAAGACTCGTAGCCATCGCCCATCTGATTACGGCATTTTAAGAAAACTTCGTAGTCCTCACTACATTTTTGTCTGGAAAAAAAATCGAGATAACTGTTTTTATCATGGCCAGAAAATTCGGACATAATTAACATTCTACTTCCGCCTAAATTTGCATATGGTGTCAAAATAAAGCTTCGTGAGTTTATAGTAAACTGTAATGTGCACAGTACTAAACGCTATAAATACAGCTTTAGGTGGTCGATTATAATTTGCCTTAATTGCTCGTTGCAGAGAAAGTTAATCTTAATATTTTGAGACAGTATTTCAAAATGTTTTATCAGTATTCGTTCTGCATTTTCAAAACAAAGTTTTGGTCATTTATCACGTTGAATACCATATAAAACGAAAACCGTAATAGCGTACAAATAAAATAAAAATGCAGAGCCGACATAAACCTTTACCAGCAAAATATTACCTCAGGATCTTTAATATGACACGAATTACAAGAAACAACCAGGGCAAATTGCAAAGATGCAATGGTTTTCCTTAATTTTGCGAAATTTAAGAATGCGCAATATAATTTTTAGTTCTGCAAACGAATAATATTTGAACAGATATGCAAATTTGCTACGGCAATCTGCATATTCCATGTCCGCAATTTCTGGCCATGGAGCTTGACTTTGATTATGTATAATTTTTAAAAACGATAAACATAAATATTTCTGAAATACTTGATAGTATAGCCGAGGTTAGTCGAGTCAGTCGAAGTCCATGTCGCTTTTATATTTTCTTAAATTTTTTACTTATTTTGCTTAGCGTGAATGCTTGCTAGGCGACATGTTAAATACAGATCACAACTACTGTCTATCTTTGACTGGGGATTTTAAAGCCACAATTTGAGACGCACAGTATTCAACTTAGCTATGTGTATTCCATGCATACATTATGGTCGTTTAGACAGTACGAATACGTTCAGGAGAAGATTCCATAGATGACGAAAAGCGAACTATATTAGTATATAAATTATATTTAGTATCTACACCTGATTGATCTGTATCTCCTTTCAAATTTTTTTCTCTTTCAACTTTGCATAGAGACCATTGCGTATATTGGTATGATTATCGCCAAAAAAATGATAAATATTCCTGCACCGCTGTGCGAACTCCTATTAGACTCGCGAGGAAGCTCTGTTTTTTCGTTGCTCAAATCTAGAAAAGAATCATAAAGTTAATTCAAGCTATTTTGAATAAAAGGTGACAATATTTATCATAAGAGCAGTCCAGATATAAGACATAATTATTTAATAATTATTCGCCTAAGGTGAGATGAATATCGCCGAGCAAAAACCGACACAAAAGCCCCGTTTACATGCACTACACTCAATTTATTGGCACGGCACAACTATAAATTGAGTACCAGTGCCAATTCATCCGTGCTCGGCCTTTGTTTTGGTAGTTTGAACACTAATAAAACTGGGCACGGGTACCAATTTTAGCCGTGCCTTGCCGATAAATTGAGTGTGGTGTAAACGGGGCTAAAGTCAGAATTATTATATTACATGGCCCAATTTTTAAAACACCTTCATGACAATGCTATTGGTTACTCATTTCTAAAGGATATTTTTACATAAAAAATCCGCCAACATTACAATATTATTGCAAGTTAGAGTTGTAGTTATTACTTCTGACTATATATCCATCCAGCCTAAGGCGAACAATTTTTTTAGTATAATTACAAAGGTGATTATTGAAAAAAAACAATTTGTTTCTCGTCTCGGTCACTTTGAACCCGTATAGATGATTATCGCGAATAATTCCTGGAGCCGCTTGTTCGAGAGGCGTTTCGCTTAAACGGCGGATAAGCTAGCTCAAAACGGAAAAAAATTATCTCTTTATTGAACAAATGAACTAAAATATTTCGATGTAAATGGCTTAATTTTCAATGGAAGTACATATTTAATCCATAAAATCCATGTTCAGTCATTTACAACATGTATGAGAGTATTTTTAATTCTTGGCTTATCCATGCACCGTTTAAGCTAAACGCCTTTCGAACATCCGGCGTCTGGTCGTTGGACGAATCAGAGACTAATTTTTTTGTAATTACTGCATACTATATATAGAATATTTTGCAGTTTATTCGTATTATTTTTGAAACCGAGTTTTAGCTTTCATCGCTCAACTGAAACATAGAAAAATAATCTTGGTTTTCAAATCCGTTGGGGCAATAGAAGTTGAAAACTTGGCTTGAAATATCATGCTAATCGACTAGATATATTATGTCTTCCATAACTTTCGTGCTCTCTTGCATGCTAGTGAGGGTGTAGTTTATTTTTGGTGTAATTGAACTTGAAATTTTTCATTCTTATCATCACAGTACTTTTTGTACGCAGAATTTCAGAAAACTCGTCGACTTTTTCCTTGCCCAAATCTAGAAAAAATGTAATGACATTAATTTTAACCATTTTCAGTTTAAAAAGTTGATCGAAAATATAGTCACTCAGGCCAGACAGAAGACACAATAATCTAATATTAAAAGATTTTTGAAGCGGATTTTCATCATTACAGTTTTCATACGAAGAATTTCAAAATTTCATAATTTTCACATATTAAATGTTTATATATATATAAGCTTCGAATATACGCTATTTAACAGCAAAGCAAAAATATTTCTTTCGAGATTTTAAATACGTCCTTTTAAACATTAAACCGACTGTCTAATGCTCAAATTCATCTTAACACCCGAAATACCATTTTTGATGCATTTCCCATTGTTCATTAAGGTGTGCGAAGCGATTACATAATTTAACAGACTTCTATCCTGAATCAACCAATTAAATAATATATAATGGAATTTCATCTTGAAATTAAACTAAGTTCACACTCAAGGAATATCCATCAGTACACGCAGCTAGCTAAGAATTAATTATAATTTACGTCAATTGATACGATGAAATTATAATCATACACCAATAAGGATGTCCATTTATTCCTCGGCAGTTGAAGAACGTGGTTAACCATTTGCAATTTGTAAATATGAGTAACTATTTGGTCCACTCAATTGGCGAGCCGAGCCAGAATTAACGTAATTCAGGTAAAATTTACAGTAAAATCATGATTATTCTTACCACGAAAATCCGAACATGAGATCTTTTCGGGATCAATATCATTCCTCGCACACACCCGAATGCGGTCTCTTAACGACAGCGAAGTAAGAGTCGTGTGGAAATATTTTGTTTCTATCTCCTTTTTCCATTTTCCCTTTCCATCTTTTTGAACTTGAACAACATAGAACAAGATTCCCTTCCCTGTTTCAAGAGGTGCTTTCCACGAAAGCTTTCCTTTACTAACAGAGTTATTGTAAAACTGAAAGTCAACTTTTCTGGGCTTCGAAGGAAACACTACATAGAATTAAATAAGTTATCATTATAATAATGCAAAGTTTTTCAGTTTCAGGAGTTCTATTGGTGGACTATAATTTCAATCTTCCAATATTTTGATATTAATATATCCAATTTTTTATTCCAGAGAAAATTTGTTGCAAATGACTCGTTTTGAATAGTCCATGTATCTTTGGAAATATGTAAACTATTCTGTAATTCATTAACGTACAAGAAGTAGTATAGACAGAGTCAAATTTTGGAGGATGGGATATTAGGGTTACGCCGATTTAGACTTAAGAGAGAGGATTAGTTGGAATACTTAAAAAAGGATATTTATTTTAAGGTCCGTCTGAAAAACACTTCAGCAAGAATTCAAATTCAAAGTTCCTGAAGGTGAATAATGATTCTACAGTATACAGACACTTCCAGAATTTGTTCTCCGACAATAAAGAAATCTCACTGACAATAGATCACATTGCCCGCTTCGTTCCCGAGCTATTGTTTTGTGTGCACTCAAGCAAACTCGGGAAGTGTCTATATTGGTTATGAGGATGAATGTATCCGCAATATGTCCTGTATCAAAAAACCTAGCTATTGTTATTGGTATTGTCCAAATGTAGCTATTCGTTGCTGATAATCAGTCCTTACTTGCTTAAATCTTGCGCATGGGCATGACTAACAAAAACATGGAACGTCGACCGTCCATGACATAGAATTTGGACAATTTTGGATTACGCTATCTTCTGTGAAAATAGCCGGGTGTAAGAAATCTCCCAGCAGGATTAGTATACCCTCGCACCGAGCTCGTGTATTATCTATTTGGCAATGATCGCGTTGTACAGATTTTTTTGTGTATGTTAGCTACTTTCACAATTGGCCTATTGCCGTTATAGATGCTCTATGGATTGTCACGGTACCTGGGCTCAGTCCAACTTTCTTCGAACAAGATTGTTCAAAAATGCACAGTGTGTTCCTTATGCACACCCTGAACACAAACTTCCTGGCAACGTCCAAATTTTCGACAGTGTAACTTTCACGCCGTTTCTCGTATTTCAGATGAAAAGACGAATAGTCTGGTTCCCCAAATTTGGAAGGAGGAAACATCTGTATAACATATCCCAGAACTGGAGCATTGTCTGCCTTTTGTCGCTCCCACGTCAATGTAATTTTTTTAGAAGAATTGCTGCTAATCAAGCAAAGACTTGGACCGGGCGATATCTCTAGATAAAATTTGAAATTAGTACCACAAAAGCGCCATGGAAATATTTTTTCTCCCAATTTTAGGGCAATTTGAGCCAAAACTCCAGGCACAACTAAAAATTTGTTTTAACATAAGAAAGTAAATAGGTAAGCGAAGAAGTCGAACAAAATTCTGCCAAGAAATTTCGGCCTGTCCGTTTGCTAAACTCGAAGATTGTAGTCCCTAATCGGTCATTAATTTTGTGTCGTTAAATTAATAGGTTAACCCCGCACCTGACGATAACGACAGTCAATATGGTTACGCATGCCGGTAACTCGATGCCACTAAACTGTGATAACTTGAAGCATGATATCTAAGTAATCCACCGATTGGCTATAAAAATGTAAAGCGAAAAATGGCGGAAATTGATGGGTCTCTGTAAACACTGGAAACCAAAACGACCGAAATCGGAAAAAACCGAAACTGGAAAAAACCGAAAGCGAAAAAAACCGAGACCAGAAATAACCGAAATCGAAAATAACGGAGACCGGAAATAATCGAAACCGAAAATAACTGAAACCGGAAATAGCCGAGACCGGAAATAACCGAAACCGGAAATAACCGAGACCGGAAATAACCGAAACCGGTAATAATCAATGGGAATAATCGAAGCTAAAATTACGTTCCCCCAGAATTGCCAAAATGTTTATTTTATATTTTGACAGCGCGCTTAATTCCTTCTGAAAAAATGGACGATGATGAGTGCAATTGTTATTATGTTATAGGATGCAATTTCCCAAGCAACTTGCAATGCAATTCTACTTTTAAAAGATGTGAATTAGTGAAAAGTTTTCAAAAAGTACGAATAAGAAAACATCTGTTGAGGGTGTAACTACTAATTCACATCTCTCAAAAGTGAAATTGCATTGCAAGTATTGTAACGCAACGTGTAACGCGGCCTTTAAGCTATACTCAAGAAATGATGAGTTCTGTATTTTTCAAATTTTTAATGGCTGTTTTTAGGTTATTTCAGCTTATTGCAACAGGGTGCTCATGTAGACGACCTATATAAACGACCTTGCCACAGAATAGAACAAAGGTCTCTATTCTGTTGACCTGGTTTGCAACGATTAAGCAAAACAAAACAAAAATGTTTCCATACTAAATTCACGCTAGGTACTGTACCTTATCTTTGTGTCCAAAAAGTTCAACAGTTCATTTGCATTTTGAATTGGTATTCAATGAATTTTTTAGGGCACGCACTCACTAATTTTGGGGAAATATTTTCGGTCGGTCATTTCCGGATTCGGTCGTTTACGGTTCCGAAATTGAAGCGAATTTCAGCAAGAACATAACTATATAGCGGTAGAAATATGTATATTCCACTGCGCGCACAGAACATTGGAACTTAATAACTCATAATTATAGAACGTATTACTAATGCACTCACCTGATTTCACTTCGAGGTTTTTTGAGCAGGTTATGTTATTCTGATCATCTTTTCGCTCAGTACAGACTCGTACGATGCAATTCAGCCCTGCATAATGGGGAATAAATTTCGAAAGAGAGTAAAGAGACATAGAAAGTTCCAATGTTGTATTTACGTTCATCCACTTTTTTAATTTTTGCTGTAGGAATTGCACAACAAAGAACGACTTTTGTTCTTTAATGTCAGTAGTATTCGCTTTCCACGATAAAGGACCTTCTGGTGCAAATTTAAGAAGGAACGGATATCCAGGATAGTCTGAATTCATAGAAAAAATAAAAGCAAATGTTTGACTTATATATAAATTACTGTACTGAGTTGCGGACTTGCAGTTGACCTGAAAGGTATGTGCATGGGAAAGGGACACGCAAACATGCATGCAAACTTCGCAATTCGGCTCTCATATAAATGATAGCGTGGTCGAGTGCAATTTGAAAAAAACATGCACAGCACAAGGGATAATAGCAATTTGAAGTCTTTGAAAAACTCGCGAGATGTAACTCACGAAAGAAAAGGCAGCATGTTTTTCCAAATTGCACGAGAATTTATGCTATTACCTATTAATAATATGAATAAAAAAATTAAGGGACACGTGCTACATAATTAATACTGGTATACGAGACCAAAAAGTTAAGGGTAATTAAATTTCGTTTTGCGATTGTTGCCTAGTGCCACAACCATTTGAATTTACCCAACTTTTCGACATACTTACCAATTTCTAGCAACGTCATATTGTGCTTTATTTTTGTGTGGCTAGTCCAGGCATAGCATTTATAGCTCCCAAAGTCATCCTTATTCAGTGGTTTCAATATTAGCTCACTTTTATACCTTGCTTTGCTAACATTTTCGGTGATTGTTAGGTTTTTTCTAACGTTCTTCCATGAAAAAGATGGGGAATCTGCACCGTCTCTCAAATCAATCGCGCAAACAAACGTTACAGGTTGACCAATCCAGGTTCGAAGAATTGTTGATGACTCCTTAGGTATAAGAAACAGGTCTGGAAATAGAAATTACGCTTTCATAATTTGCATAAACGCGGCAAAATAACAGTCGTTCACAGTTTTAACATATAAATCCCAAAGGTAAATAAAAATGTATACATTTTTTTAAAAGTATCAAACATGGTTATATATGCAGCTAATAGTAATAGTGCGGTACATTTATAAAAAGTATTCAGCAAAGATAAAGATAACGTAAGGCGAGGGTAGGAAAAGAACTATACTCCCCGGACGTCGGGGGATATTTACATGTCAGTAGTTGATAGTATAAAAGATTATTACAGATAAACATGCAGAGCCCCCATAGTATCCATTAAATAGTAATAAGGGCCCGCCAATGAGATTGAAGGAGGGGCTCCCAATTCACAGTTTTTCATCAGGCACCATTTCGCATGCCTCTCTTCCAACCAAATTTTTTTGCATCTCATGCACTGACAAATGTGATTTACTATATATCAGTGAAACTGGAATATCTCTAAGGGTCGGTAAGGTTTGGCGAGCACCGCGTAGGTCGGTCAACAACCACGATAAAACCAAGCCTGTGTTGCCTGACACTTTGCCTAATCATTGTGTCACGGACATGAGAATTAGAGCACTCTGTCCCATTTCCGGTACTAACGATAGCCGTAAACGACAAGAACTACGACTCATCCACAGTCTTGGCACTCTTTCAGACTCTCTTTCATTTAAGCTGATTCACCCAGAGTAATATATATTATGACTTCCATTTCTTTGTTTACATCAAAACTGTTTGTAATATATTTTCGTTGTTGATCGATCAGGCTATTCTTAATCTACAATCAGACGTCTCTTTGGCAACGTAATGTATTCCAATTTGATTTTTTTGTTTTTTTTAATGGCCGATTTTTATCACGTGTTTCGCCCCCATACAAAACATGTATTCTCCCCTATTTATTTTCATAGTAACTCTCCTGACGAAGGCCCTCAGATCGAAACGTCCAGAAGTGTTTTGTCTATTTTAAGCAGTTGCTATACCACATTTGATGCTATATAAGTTGTTTGAAGACGCTGCCACGCTGCTCCCTGGTTATATTGGAACTTATGCAAATACTTCCATCAGTAAGCAATGTGCTAAACCCGTGGCTGAACACACAGTGCACTTAGAGTATATTACATGCTTTTAATATATACACCAGCTTCTATTATCACACGCAGAAGTCAAACTGCCAGCTAATAACACGATCAGAGATGAGAAACTATAATCCTTTTACTACAGAGGAACAAGTTTACTTCATACATTACACAACACACAACTTTTATGCCTGGTTTCCAATTAGTCGTATAAGTGTTGTGAACGTGCTATTTGTGTGCAGCCAACGATGACCGATTGGAATACAGAAAGAAGGACAAATTTACATCCGTACTATTGATTTAAATGGAAACCAGGCTTTATAGTAACATATATTGGGATTTGCGGGGTTTTTATTCTGCGGGAACATGCAGAGGTTAATTTTCTAAAGGTTTGGCATACTCTTCATGCGGGCATTCAACCAAGAATGAAATGACGATTCTATATTGTGTTATTCTTTGACGACAACCGCAATTTTGACTCAAAAGCATGATTATAATTATTGCCCGCGTCTCTTTTTTTCACATAGACAATTATAAACATGTGGTTTCACTAAGTTGATTGATTTCAATTCCCGTTATGACTAAAGCCGCTGGCGCTGAAGCTATGAATTATCGATTAAGCACTCCAAAACATTGGATATAAACGTACTTCAGACCTGTTCGGTTGTCATATTGTGAACAAATGTATTATATCATATTTCAAGTTTCCTACTCCAATTACTCTCCATTATTTTCCATATCACGTATAAAATCCTCGCATTTTTCAGAGAACTATCGCATATGCACGTAATTATAGCAAATTAATTATTGATGAAAAAATAAAAAATAAGCGACACTTGTTAAATATTAAATGCGATATGCATTTAGATTGAAAATACGTAGCTGTAATGGTTCTACAATATTTCAATTCCGCCCGTTTATATAATAAGGTGCGGCAAAGCACATTTATACATATCGTAGTTTTGTCATTGCTGCATGTCTTCAAAGTAATCTCAATCGGTCGTGGAAGATCTATAACCGCAAAACATGTAATTCCAAAAAAATCCTTTCCAACTCAAATTGAAAAAATCGCAATATATATGTGTGGGCGGCATTCAAACATCTTTTAATCAAACAAAAAATCAAAATAAATGCTTTCACAAATTTTAAAATGCTTTTGAAGTATGCAGCTTTCTTTCAACATCAGAATTAAGTATAGATAGTACCAAATGATAACTCCTGCAGTAATAATTTCAAGCTCATTCTGCATGCACTTAGCTATACATCTATGGTAGGCAAAACAAAACTGCGAGTCCGGTGAAAATGGCGGCAAAATTGATTTGAATTTCTACAATCTTAACTTGTTTGACGATGCACTTTTATTACTTCCGATTATGCACAAGTAACACATGTGCAAAATATGTAATGATCTTAACGTATATGGCAAACATCGATGGCCCTAATTAAATAATAAATGTTCGTGTATAACGTGCTGTTTCCCATCCATTTATCTGCTCAATTGGACTAGCTTATTACGACGTTAACGTGCATTAATTCTACCAGCGTGAACGCGAAAAGTTATGCTTTTAGTACTTGTATATTAATTGAGTTCTTCACAGGTAGTCCCTCTCAACAAGACAACGATATTCTCAAGTAAAGGACGGTATATTTGGCAAAAATATACTATTGCATAATATGGCTATATTGATATACGATTGCATAATATGAATAATAAACAAAAAACATGCTGAACAAAACGTTTCAGAGTTAAAACATGCACATTTCATGTTTCTTTTCGATCGACATGGCACTTATCATTCGTACATTGGCCGTATTCTTTTGCTTCCAGTGATTAGTTCTACCTGACTGTTTATAGAAAACAAGGAAACGGCAAACTTCGTTTCGACACGGTTCTGCACACTTTATCCATTCTTCAAGGTTACAATGCGTAAACTTCTTAGTTTGAATTTGAACAAGAGAACTCACCGACAAAGGAAATTTTCCTGTCCGTTCCGATCCAAAGGAGATTTTTCCTAAGTGGAAACTAGCCTTAATAGTATATCTGCGTGTAAGAGGAGGATCTGCAATTTACCAGTTTCTTTCGCAAACGTTGAAAATTTTAATCAATTATACACGCAGGCAAGGAGGCAAGGCGGATCTGTTATTGATTTCTCTGCCTTTCTTATGCAGAAGTTGCATGGATATATTTATAATCGATTACATAATTATTAAAGTGTTTATACATATAATAGGTTTATACAGGATTAATATTATGCTTCCTAGGTGTAACAAATTTCAGAAGAATTTTTTCCGCGATTTCTCACAAAATATTGTCAAAGAAATGGTACAAAATATAATAATTTATAATAATTATTATCTTATGATAATTTACATTATAAAGTTGTTTTTGCTTACCGACAATAGTGACATCAGTGACCTTTTCAAAAGACCTTGTGTTGTTGCTACTTTCCACTGGCTCAAACAAAATTCCATAACTAGCAGTGTCGTCGAAGGTTGCAGCTTGTATGGATATGTACGCTTTGTCGTATGAAAGATGAAATTTGATTCTTCGATACCGCGGAGGCAGCGATGTCCTGTTCAAGAGTGTGTTTGGATTTAGCAGAGTCGATATTTTCTCTTTGGCATTGCTGGTGTTATTGAAAACGTATAAACTGATCGTCCATTGTCTTTGTGCCTTTTCTTCGACGACGTAATTCCACTGAAGTTCCAATTTTTTACCGACCATCAGTCTTTTGCTCGCAGGAGGGCAATCCAACGATCCGATATGGATTGCCGCATTTAGTAGAAGAGCGCCTACAAAAAAGCGTGAATTGATCGCCATGCATCTATATATTAAAGCGTTAAAGAAATTGTAATTACGCTGCAAAACGTGCTATATCAGTATACATGCTCATGCCGCAGCGATGCTGTTGTGCCTTTGCGTTTTCTTGTGTTAATTACCTGAAGAAACAACAAAGCTTATCCAAACCGCTTTCAGGATTGTATAACCTCCCATTTCATAACGCGGCTTAAAGATATCGAATCAAGAAATTGTTGTGTGCGAGATATCTCTGAAAGATATTTAAATTTCGTCGCCTTCCCGTTTTATGTCAAGAATCCATAGATTAGAAGATAACGATCCACATGATGTCCGTACCCGAGTTTATATTAGGCTATAATCCCTCGCTTTTTCGCCCTTTAAGGTCGGTGGTTTGAAACTTTGAACATTCCCATCGTTGAATTACTGAATATTGGTATTGTTAAAACGCCGTAACAGTCAAAAAGTTAAGAATACTGTTTGGAAGACTAAAATGTGTTATATTGCATCTTAATTATTATAAGAGTAAAGTGGCATATTTTACAAAATAAGTGCAGGTGTCATTGTAATTAAACACGGCATTTAATTGAAAGTTGTGGCCGAGTTTGTGGTAAGTGAAGTATGTACACTGGCTTTACTTACAATGATTCAGGACCGAATTCAATTTAAATAACTTTTATTTATAATAATGTATATTTCTTCTGTAAATATTGAATAATTTAGCGGGCAACCTCTTGCACAGTTGCATGTGAAGTGGAAAGCCAATTGAAATTTAAAAATAAAGTCAAATTTTAAAAGAAATATTTTCAAAATAAAGTATAAAATATACGTACTTGATGAATTCTTCTTATTCGCGAATGTTCAGATGGCTATTGCACAGTAATAAAATTTAAATCCAGACGCTTTTCAACTGGTTACAAGCATGCATATATATAAAGGTTTTCTATACCAATTATATCTATGTATGTGCGACTGATCATGATCTCACAAATGAATAAGCTAAAGAGAATAGTTGAACACAAACACGACTTTTATAATACACTTTTTATTCGCCATCTTCGTCCGAAACATGCATCATGTATAGCTTTTCGAGAAAATTTTGGCTCAAAGAATTATCTATAAAACTTAACAAAATTTCCGAACGAGAAGCAAATTTTCTATTTGTATGAATTTTTTTATTTCGTTGTATATTCCCAATAATCTATGCCCTTTTGCAGTAAAAATCGCATTTGATCTCAGGATGTTTTCAGCATTTTGAAAAACGAAAAACGAAATGATAAACGCTCAAATCGTGTGTACACAACTCATTAAAATTGGCGTGAGACATGCAGGCAACCATTAATCGCCAAATTGCAAATTCGTGCCTGTTCCAGTAGAAATCAGAAATACACAATATGAAAGAATTTGAGAAAAATGCCGAAAATTATGCTGCAAGCCACCTACGTGTGTGGTGCTAATTAATACAAGGGGGATGCAGTGATATATTTTTTTCTTGTGAAAGACTAATGATTACTTGGAGTCGATTATTTTACAGTTTTAGCGATTTGAGCAGACGTACGTTCTTCAGATATCTGCGTCCTTTTTAATTGGCGGTTATGAATCGAAATTAGGCTTAAGCTCATTTTTTATCGAAGGTTGATCTACCTGCTACTCGGTCTATTTTTGAAGATCATTTCTGGAAGATTATAATTCCCGCAATTTGTCTTGAATGAAGTGCAACTGAGACGTTTTGAATCATAGTTTTATTAGAAATATCTAACAAACAAAAATGAACACGTGCCAAGCGGTTTCTTACAAAAATGTTAACATATCAATTATTAATTAAATCTTTCGACATTTACGAAAATATTTTATAAAATAATATGCATATAATTATATGACGTGTGTTCTGATCGGTCGAAGCCATCCATGCAAACACGGAAATTTAATTCGCGTGTGAAAATCAAACGTGAACACTGCCTTGTTTTGTTATTTTATAAAACAATGGACCTTTTTCATAATGACGTCAAACGCGGAAAGTCTGATGTTACACAAAGTTTGATTGGCTCGATAGTTTTGTGGAGCCTATCAAATTTCGTGTAACATCAGACTTTCCGCATTTGACTTTGTCATAAGAAAGGTCTATTACTTAATGCTTACTGTGTTTCGATCATTCAATGGCCTAATCCGAGCACGTGGGAATGTTGCGAGAGTTAAGAAAAGCGCTAAACGATGTGATGGTTTGAAGTTGAAAGGGTGGCAATTGACGTACTAACTTTACATCGCCAGAGTAATCATCGCCGGACATTGACCCTGTGGCTAACCGTAGCGGTAATCCACATAAACAGCAAAAGTTATGTTTTGACCGTTCAAAAATTTCATGCTATTGGCAAAAACAAAGCTATCAGGCGCTGGCCGCAGGGCAGAAATAGAATATCCATAATTAGGCAGCACCCAATTGAGTTGTTTTTACGAGATCAGCGTAGCCATCATTCGCCCAAGAATTAATTTATACTTAATGTGCTGTGTATAGGTAGTTAGAGAATGCCCATGGGATAGGTACATTGTACTGGTTAAATAATTAAAATTTATTCAAACGTTGTGGTGAGTTGAACTGGCCTTGTAAATGGCAAATTCACGTTTTCCAGATCCGAAAATTGTTGAGGAAGAGGTTTCATGGCTGCAAGAAACAATTAAAAAAATGCAAGATACAATACGAAATGGGAAAGCAGGATAGTTTAATACGTATATATATCAGCGCACTGAAGCATGTGTATACTTGAGAACACGAATCGTTGGTATTGTTGTCCTGTTCTAAGTTTTGTTTTTCCCATATACAGATTTTCGACTTTTCCTAAGGCATTATAGATGCCGAAGTGAGGGAAACTAACAAAGTACGCATAGTTCAGGCAAAGACGAGGCCGGAGAGAAGTGATGTGAAGGACGAAGAAGAGTTAGAGTTGGGAGACAGAATTTACTTGGAGGACATGCAGTCAACTGAGTATTTACACTGTATACTTTTATAACTGCGAATGGTTCGTTTTGCGTGCGAACGAGCGACTTTAGCGAATAAACAACACCGGATCGTTTTTGACGAAAGCTTCTCAAAACAGTAGGTATCTACCTAATATGAACGAACTTTTTGTAACAATAGTGAGCATCAGTGTTTATGATTCGTTCTTTTAGAAGTCAATTTCTGTAGTTCATTGTGTTTTATTGTGATTATCAACCAATAGCAAAGCTTGTTCATGTAGGTACGTACCAACCTTCTCGAAAAAATTCCATGGTAGTCAGTGGCGTATAGCCAGCATGACAATTTGGTAATGCTATGCAAGTCATTTAGGACTATTAAATACACAGTCAAAGAATACCAAAATATTAGCGTAGCAAGACTGAAAAGTCTGGCTGCATGGCTACGCCACTAATTGTGGTACTATAGTTCAACTGTTCAATCAATAATTCTGTACCATTTGATACAGAATCCTAATAAAGCTATTAGTATTCTGTATCATTTACTACAGATTTGTATCATTTGATACAGAATACTGATAGGGCTATTAGTATTCTGTATCAAATGATACAGAATTATTGATTGAACAGTTGAACTAGTATCGGATATACAGGCCCGTCACGGTCGCATGGGCAGATTTTCAAAAAATAAAATATTGCCACTGCATATCGCATAAAATTATGAAAGTAATGTACATGCAGTGGCGATATTTTGTTTTGTTTCGTTGTAAAATGCATTACGATGCTGGCACAGCTATGGTGAATGTTCAATATATATAGGTATCTCCACCGAGAGAGAGATAAGAGTTAAATCTATTCTCCATTATACCGTCCGCTTCACCCTCGCGGGCGAAGCGGCTTTAGAAAATCTGCCTATGTGACCGTGACCGGCCTCAAAAACAAGGCGCGCTTCGCTCCCGGGGAGCGGACGTAATGGAGAATCGCCTTTAAAGCCCGTTTTCCACTAGGCGAGTTTATTCACGCGATGCGAAGAGATATATGTATATGAAATCTGGCGATGTGATTGGTTATAAAAAAAAAACTGATTCGCCAGGAAAAAGTAGAATCGCTACCTATACTTTTTATCACTTTTCTATGTGACAAGCTCAGATTTATTTTTTTTAGGGTCAGATTTAATATTTATTATGATTTTGTGCTTTCTGTGTAAAAACTCTTGCAGTGAAACCTCCCAGCGCCCGTGGTTCCCACGCCAATGCAAATAACTGATATGAGAATTAAATATTTACATACAGCTGTAATAAATGTCGTGCCTAGCACAGATCGTTTCCTTATAAATATTGTTTTATCTACATCTTCGTCATAGTTTTTATATGCTATTGAATGTAAAATTACATACAAACTAAATGTCTATACTATTTTATAGAACTTAAGTATAATCCTTTTTATAGACCTAAGATATACCCAATAACATCCTTAAGTGGATGCATTTATTGAGAATGAAATGATTTTATGTTTTTTTGTTAAGTTAAGTTTTATTTATTCCAAATAATTTTCGAAGGTATTCGTAGCTACATATACGGGTTTGTAAATATACTCATCATAATATGATATACAGAAAAAATTGCAAAATGTGCATGCTGCATGCAGAATAATTACTGCATGAGATGAAAAAGACGCTTCGGTCAAACAGTTGTTAGCGAGCAAATGAAATCCAACTTATCCAAGAATAATCAGAGTGGCGACAGGTAGGGTTCTAGTACTTAGGCCTATTTGAAATTAACATCTCCAAATGATTTCTTTATCAGCCTCCAGTTACCATGGTTATAGCTATATGTGATTTGCATTTTCCGACACACGAAGCATTGCTGTTCATTTTCGTTTCTCATTCGAAATTTCAATTCAGGCTGTCAGCTCTCGTTTCGAAAGTCATATCAGAGAAGCGTCCTATTTCATTTATTCATCCGATAGCAGTCAGATTTTCTAACCGAAATAAATTAATCACTAATCGTTAAATATAAAATATTTCTCAGCTTAATTTATTATTATCGATCGATATATAATTATAGTTTATGTATTATGAAAATGAGGAGTACAAAAGAAAACCATGGACGGTTTGCATTTCCTGAAGAACGTGGCACGTCTTTGACATCGTTTGCTTCTAAATAATAAATAGATAATGCCATTTATCAACATGATCTTTATATATATATGCTTAGTATTGATATATAATTCCTTTGAACACCAATGTCACTAAATTTGCAGTTTCGAATATCAGTCTATAGAAACAACCGCGAAACTCGGTCACATACGCTCTTAACATTTCAGACGTTCAGTTCTGAAAATTGAAGAACAAATACAAAAAAGATTGCCTTTCCTCGACAATTACGCCAAAAATTACCGGCGTCATACATGTGATGAAATATTCATTGCTTTCACTCATGCTTGATGAATATATCCCACAACACATTAATAATGAATCGAGTAGTATATGCGATCATTTTGTATCTAATTGAATTCACGATATGACATCCATGCGTAAAAATAGTTATTTTAATGACATGGCTGTTTTTAAGCATTTTAGGGTGGATTTTTTATAAGAGAAAATATAAACGCTATAATCCGCGTAAATGAGTCGTAAATGAAAGTTTATCTCGTAGTATTTTAGTATTATGCTATTTCAGTATTTGGTTATAGCGAATGCTTTCGGCGGGGCCCTGCATGCATGGTATAATCCGCTCTATCCCGCTCTATATCGCATTTCTTTTTCAATGAAAATTTGAAATAAACAAATTATTGAGGTAAGCATTTGATAGATATAATACTTGCCGATAATATTGATTTCAGTGAACCGTTCTAAATGCGTACGAAGGTCGTCGTTCGCACCAGTCGATTCAAAAAGTATTCCATAACCGTCGTAGTCGCGGAATTTCGTTGTCGGCACGGAGATTCTAGCTTTATCGTAAGAAAGTTCCATATCAAACATCCGAAATGCAAGGTCGAGGTAATTTGGATTTGTAACTGTGATGCCCGATTGAAGTAACATTATAAGCTTTGTTTTGGTGGCACTGGTGTAATTGTATTCGTACAGGCTAATTCTCCACTTAGTCGCCATATTCACTTGATATTTCCACTGAAGCTCGAGTTTTTCCCCGGCTAAAATACATTTTGTGGGTCCTGGGTATTCCAGCACGTATACGTCGCTTGTTTCATTTAAGCTCAGGCTCTCTACAGGAAAAAGTTAATGATATAGCGACTGGAAAATATACTTCTTCTATAAAACTTTATTCATGATTGTTTCATTTACATGTACCTGAAAAATAGGCAATAATGAGCCACAACGTTATTTCTCGAATCGCATTACGAACCATCTTTAATCCTCGAAATCATCGACTATAGTTGTACAAAGGATATCGAAATCTTATATATGTTGCAGTCCTCGTGGCGTCCAGCAATATAGCCAATTAAGCTTACGACAGAATCCCCATGATGCCCATTGTGTCACAAAATTATCGCTATAGTTAGTTCAATCGCAGTTCGGAAGAAAAATCCATTACCTCTTTAGCGACATTTTTTTATTCTCGCAATGTTTGTTAAATGAATATGGACGGCAAATATTAGGAGTTAAAAGATACTTACGTTCAAATAGAATGTCGCTTTCCGGCGAAGAGGTGTTTCACACATCAGAGATGCAGGCGGGAATATAATTGTGGTAATTACTATAATTTGTGACAATTGATATAATCTGCGACAATTAATAGAAAATTGTTGTGTCATCTTTAAGCCACTTGAAATGCATATATTGCGAGGAACTTGTCAAAAGCTTCAGCTGGCAATAAAAACGTCTACATCGCAGGTGTATATTGAATCGATATTGAGTATATTCCATAGCAAGTGAAATCTGCTTGCAAGCTAATAATATATTCAGTGGCATAATTTTCATATAATTATTTGGGCGGAAGCCTGACCTTTTTTGGGCAAGGGTATTGATTCCGCTCTGCTATTTACCCGGCCGAATTTCATCAATCATCGCAAGCGCAAGGCTATAAAAGTTATCATACAACTGATCTCAAAATTAATGGGCTATCAAGAGGGGCAAAAATAATTGGTCGAATTCAAAAACTGCGTCACAAAGGATGTCGGAGTCGACGGTGCAAAGCGGACACTTTTTTAAAATTTTCTTCTTACATAAATTTTTACATAAAAATATAGTTAACGTCGCTTGAAAAATGTGAACGAGTTTGCTGACTTTAGTTCAAAACTAAATTCCTCCTTGTTTAATAAATGCCAGTATTTCTAGTTCATTTTTTAAGAGAAGGAAAATAGAGCGTTATTATATAATTACATATTCATGTTACCATTATTGCATTCATGATTCTAATATAAATGCTCATAATAATATCTCAATACATATATTGTTAACTTTCGACACTATGTACAATAAAAAGATAAAGAGATAAAAGGTAAGGCGATTAAAAGTACTAGTCTCGTCCTTCGGACCTTTTCAACAAATCGCCATATACACGCGTAAAAACGCTCAGGCTGATGCAAGCTGATACAAACAGGATGCAGCAATGCTGTGCTGCCCACACCGTTCAGAGCTGTTATCAATATTGAACAATATTGTTACACCCGATTCAGTTTCAACAATATCGTTCAATGCCGATAACAACTCTGAACAACGTGGGCAGCACAAAATTGCCCCATCCCGCCCGTATCAACCTGCATCAACCTGAGCGTTCGTAGGCGTGTAGTAATAAAAATGCTTTAATTAATCAATTAAAAGAAAATTCGTTGTCTGCACGAAATATTCGTGCATAACCAAGCACGCATGTATGTAGCAAATTAACCAACTATTGCCTTATTTTTTATACTGTTCATTCCTCATACGACCAAATGTTGGAACCACCGAACATTACCCTGAACATTTTTACTGATACTATTATTTATTGTATGCATAATTTTTGTACTGCATTAAATTAAATTACGGAGGGGGATGCTTACGTTTACTTCTCATTAGGCCTAGGTGTAACGTAATTTAACAATAGTATTATTTACAACATTATACTATTGTACACATGTACAGCAGCTAAGCACGAGGACAGCATGCTTTTATCGATCAGGGGCTAGTTGTACAAAAGGCTAGTTTAACTTTTGACCGAATTGGCCAATCAGAGTTGTTTATTTCTTAGTTAACTAGGATTAATTTAAAAGTTTTATTCAAGTTTTTTTCACACGTTGTAGTTGTTTCGAAAGCCTCATGCAGTCCAGAAGTTATTAACAACTTTAATGGCTTCTTTTCTTAAGGCTGGTCTAGTCCAGAAATATATCACGGAATTGAGAACTGTGTTGATCCCAAGTGCTACGCAGTACCAAGAGATCACAACTCGATATATTATTATGTTCGAAAGATAATACAAGTTGAGAATCTCTCCAGGGATGCAGCAAACATAGAACGTAAGCACAACCAGTGCACAAGACTTGGTAAGCTTTAATTCTTTCAGAGACTTTCCCTTTTCATTACGGGTCATGTTTGCCGGTACAAGTTTCCTTCTTGAACGCAGTATTCTTATGTAACAAAATGCATGCAGTAGCACAGGAACTATTGCGTAAACTCCGCAAAATATGTAATAGAAGATTGCTGAAGCTACCGCTAAAGGTACTATGACCAACGTTACGAATGACGCAATGAAGCTGTAGGCGAAAAACGTTTTCTTTGTAAGAAGGTTTCGATGAAAAATTGGATGTACGACACTGATGTATCTCTCTAACGTTAGTGCGCATAATGCGGCAAGGGATAATCCCCATGGTATGAATGCCGCTGAAGAGAATGCAAAACTTAACGCGCAATCAGGCCTCCCAAAAACCTCGGTTAGGTGAAGGAACGCGAATAAAGGGAGAGTAAGCAATCCGACAGCCAAGTCTGCTATAGATTGAATAAGGACCGGGATGTTGGAAACTTTTAGAAGCAGAAATCGATTTTTCCAGAGTGTAAGAACGGTTATACCATTTAAAGCTATGACAGGAATCGTTAGAACGCAGTTCATAACGGATGTGACAACTTGGTTGTGGTTGTATTCACTGGAAGGAAAGTCCACGATTATTAGATATGCATAGCCGAGAATGGAGCAGTCTTTGACGTAATGTGCTAGTAGCGTATTGTTCATGCTTGCTACAAAAAACCCGTGATATCCGTAAGTTATGTGTTTAGTCTTATATACCTCTTACTTCATGTTACATACGAGATTACATAGGAGGAGCATAATAATATAGTCCGAAGCGAAGGTGTACCACTGGTAATCCCGATTAGAAGGATGCAGATAATTAAAAAATGTTGACCTAAAACATGGAACCAGCGAAGAATAGTAGTGTAAAAATAACCAAACATCTTCTATATTTGCTGAGAGATATTTAGTAAACCCCGCTTCACCTCAGCTATATAATAATTAAACTACTGTAATGTGAAATCCATTGTATAGGCGCGACATTGTTTAAAGTTTAAATTTAGGAATGAAATTCTTACTCAGAAATTCAATGAATAATTTATCCACATTCTAAGAGCATACAAATTTATTGCAACCACGATTTATCTAACGGTCACGCGCGTTTAATTCTGCAGCAAAGACTCATCGTAGAGATTGGCTATATACATAACCTGACAGTGTGTTATACACGCCACGCGTAGTCATCAGCTCAGTCAAACGATCACGTAGCAGGCTTTATGATAAACGCTTATCCAACACAGCATTTGCTTTACAATACAACGCATCGTCCCTTGCGGGCTCCATGTTTAAATTTCCGTTTTGTTTATGTTTTTGACAGCCTTTTTGCATTAGGTCCATATTATCTAACTAGCTATCTTTTTATCTGCCTTAGTCACTGAGATTAAGCCTCGGAGTCAACGAGTGGTTTTAATACAGAGCATGCATTGTCCATATAATTATTATGCATTGCACGAAACATTTTCCAGTCTTTTTACAAGTAATTCCCCCGTTACCCTGTCAGCTCGACCGCTTGATGCCACGACAATTAAAACTTACAAATCCATTTCGAGACAATGAATAGTATACTTACACCTGTAAAACTATGTTTAAAATAACTCACGTAATACATTTTGAGAAATGCTTGCTGCATTTAACTTGCCACAATTTCTTTCAACTACGACATTGTAGGAACCATAATTTAAAACTACCTTTAAAAAAGTTTACCAAATCGGTACACATGTATATCAGGCTTATCCTCCGGGCGTCTCTCTTTGGTGATATTAAGCATTTCTTTTGACTAATACTATGCTTTTTTGTTAGAAAAACTATACAGTATATACAGTTGTTAAATTATACAGTTGGCTACGCAAGCTAGATTAACGATAGCTTATAAAGAACAGCTGAATGTCTAGCTATTTGATGATAGATAAAAATTCATTTTCGTTTCTTTCAAAATTCGATAACGGTTAAAAGGCACATGCATGTGCAAGTTACTATAAGGTATACGTAAATACAGAGAATATAACGATAATACTCACATTGATTTAAGGTAATTTTATACTTGTACTTCTATTTCTATCAAAACAACGTTGGAAAATTGTAAACGCCAAAATTAAGATCGGATTAGACACTGCGTTTTTTAAGTTTGTAGGCTATAATTAATCATGGGAAAAAGTCTCTTCATATCACATTGTCATTTACATGAGTAATATTGATAACAAAAGCCTTTTGATGAATGAAAAACGCATTAAGCAGATTAAATAGCGCCATGATTCGCGCATTAGATCTGAATGGATATAAGGCAATATATAATATTACGGATAATGCATGCACGTCAGACGATCCAATTCATTTGCAATTTTGGAAAATTAATTTCTTTTAAATTAGGAACAATGCAGTGTGCTCATATTTTCGAACGTCAGTTTCGAACGTCAGTTCCGTATCTATTCAAACCTAAACACCCACAGTAGAAAATGAACTTATGATTATATTTATGTTGGCCGTAAAAAATTGTAACCATAACCCTATAAACTCGTTCCCAGGGTTGGAAAAAGGCACGAGGAAACAGAGGGTGGAAATCGTGACTTTTCACAATTCCAGTTTAGAAGACGTAGGGTTAAGGTTAGGGTTAACTCCATTTTTCCGTCGCGTCTTCCCCAAAATTCCTCGCGCGCGTGGTCAGCTTAACAACTGATCTATGAAAAAGCGTATAGTGTTCCTATATTTATTTTATTTTTAAAGCGCCTGGGAACGAGGCTGAATCGCTGGGGTATTTTGAAGAATACAGCCTGTCCAATTTCCACACTGGTTCAGCGCCTCCCCCCGGTCTCTACTGGCTTTTCATCAATACATTCGAAACCTGGAAACATAGACGTATTTTGTTCTATCTATGCTGGTTGTAGTCATAACATTTGGTTTATAGGTCAGGCAGTGAACGATATTTTTCGCATGCAAAATGCAAATATACATCAAACTTACACGGTAAAGTAAGGTTGCAGAAGATGACTGTTAATTGTTCGTATAGCATCTTCCTTTGCTTTTTATTATTTTTGTAACTAAAATGTCTCAAATCGTTTTGCGTTATAACTATATCCATAATCCCGAGAAAATAATATAGTGTATAATAAGAAAGAAGATGAGTCATAATTATAAGCGATCAATCAAACTACAAGATGTAAAATGAACGGGATCAATCATTGTCGGTCGTTCCGCAGATATTAGCTACACCTATAATACAGTACACCTATAATACAGTACACCTATAATACAGTACACCTATAATACAGTTTTAAGCCAAACCCTTCCTGCGTCCTCCCAAAATTCCTTGCGTTCGATCAGCTTAGCTACTGATCTATGTAAAAGCCTGTAGTGTTCCCAAATTTTTTACATTTTATTTTTAAAGCGCCTGGGAACGAACTAGGCTGCCCCGCGATTGGGAATTTTTCGCCACAGCTGGGCATTTCCATTACAAAACAAAATAAACCCTTATAAAACGTCGCATATATATATAACTAAACTGCACGGCGGCAGGGGTGTAAAATCACATGTACACCGACAGGACAATCAGGCGAACAGATCCCATGCATCAGATATAAGCTTGCTGAATACATTAGAAAGAAAGTAATCAAAAAAAAGGAAAATTCGAAAGAAAGTAATCGAACAATTTGCTGCACTGGCTGCTCATTGCGAAGCATACAGAATATATAATTATGAAATTGCTCTGGTTTAACCTTTTAAACGGCTGACACACGGATCAAAATAAAGTATTTTCCTATTGTTTGAATGCATGCATGCATGATTGTGATCATGCTAGGTAGGTATGCTAATTAAGACTATTAATTAAGACTATTTAAGACTATCGGGACGATATTCACTCGGCAAAGAAGAAGCTCCAATGAGAGACGTTTAAATATAAAGCCACACAAAACAGATTTTACATAGCGCAATAGCGCTGAGGTAGAAGACATCGCCAAATGCATTTTCACTGAGCTTTAGAGTGTTCGGTGTAATTCTCATTGCTTTACTTTTTATTTTCTCACACAGTCGGTCAGCAATCTGGTGCAAACCCCCCAGATATCTGTTTTACCTGCGGTTGCCATGGACACTTGAGTGCAAGCCAGTGAACTCTATATATATGGAAGGCTCGTCCTAGTACATTGCGTAATCTAAAAGTGAAGCCAAACATGGCGGATCTTAAAGGCTGCTTGGGTACCGAACCAGACCTCCACGCACGAGCGATTAAAATTCAATATGGCGGCAACGTGTAGGAATGGAACTCGGTCAGTTTTGTGAACACAACACAAATATACGGCATATGTTACCTCTCTAGAAAGAATCGTATTTTTAATTCCCACGCGTTTTTAATTTCCCATTTTACGCTTCGTGGAGGTCTGGTTCGGTACCCAAGCAGCCTTCATGATCCACCATGTTTGGCTTCACACTTTGAACTGGAGCGAGCCTTCCATATAATATATAGAGTTCGCTGGTGCCAGCTGCTCAGTTGGATATCAAGCCAGGCAAGGAGGATCAAACCCATACGGAAATTACTTCAAAAAAGGCGTGCCTCAGCCAAATGCAATTGGGTTGTGTGTGCGTTCCTTTCTCCTTTTAAACCGCCACCTAGGGTCCCAAGGCCTAAGCACTCGTAATGAGTGAGCTGGTGAGGAAAAGTGTAATAAAAACGCTAGTATTGCGTATACTAGGTATATATACGAAGTACGTATGCTAGGTTTTTCACCTCGAATCTTTCAAGCATACATGTCGTGCACTGGGTTTTCTACTTTCGAATGTAAAGAAATTATTGTTTCGTTTGTATCGGGTAAATTGAGAAAAACTACTGACACATTTCATTATGCTTGTAATTACACATGGCGATCTGAAATGATATGTAAATGGTACACCACGTGTATTTAGTACTGCATGGCTATCGGTCGGTTGACCCGGACTTTCATCACGGCATATGTTGCCAATAATCTATTCAGGCGGTTCAAATAGTTACAGTCATCAAGTCTGTTGTTGCCAGCTAGAGACGTGGCATGCTGTGTCTAAACGTATGGCATATTTACGACGTAGACTTGCGTATGCTGTGTCTAAACGTATGGCATCTTTACGACGTAGTGAAAGAAAATTTATGTTGGGTTACAATAACAGATTTTTTCGATCGTATCGGCTATCCGCGATTCACTTCACCTGTTTCAAATTCGCCACTGCGCGCATTTTTTAATGCTTTGTTGGAAAAGTTTTATGCTGCCTTTTATACAAGGGCATACCTTAGGTTACTAAGCGCTCAAGAACAAGTCAAAGTACTCTAATTTGCATAACTTTGCAAAAGCACCTATTTGTTTAAGCATATTTTTGGAAGAATACGTGCAATTTCCTGTGCAAGCTTCGCTGGGAGCAAAGGTTTAAAAGCAGTGTGCCGTGGTGGGACAAGTCCTAGAAAAGTCCAGAATAAATTGAATTTTTACTTTTTAACTTTTAAGCAAACTCAATATTTCCCTGTGCCGCTCTCATTGAAATTTGGACAATTCTGCATGAAAGCCGATTCTAGAAATCACTGAGATCTGAAACGCATGGGGAACTCAAATAATAATATTCAACTCAATTTTCACAGTCGACGAAAAGAATTGTGAAATTGAAAAAAAAATTCGAAATTGTCTTGTAGTTAGGTGTTGAAGACTGGCATATATCTCTGCAGGCCGTTAAGTAGCATACGTATTTGATTTTGTATATTTATTGGCGTCGCTTTAATATAATAAAAACTTCCCATCATTTGAAAATTCCTATTATTTAGTGTATTAGTAACTAGCTTTATTGAGTTAGACTTGGAGGGTGAAAATTTAGGCTATTTGTTAAGTATAAATTTGTCGTAGCCTGTATAAATATTTTTTATACAATGAAATATACAGCAGTTTCGCCATCTTCACATGCATGATAATGATGACTTTTATCAGGCAAGAACACGTCAAATGCGAGACAATATACGCGGTATGCCAAAGCGGTATCACGCGATTTTCACCCCTTTTTCCTGTTTGGATTACTCGGGCAAAGAAAAAAATCCGACTTCCTTATTGTCAAATTGGCGGTTAAGAAAACCCAAAACGTATTGTGATTCAGATTATATATAATCTGTCCGAGCATTTTACACGTTTTTCTCGCAATTTCAATTCCTCACCCTTCCATAGCTTGAGAAAACACGTAGGCTAGCTACGAAGCTCGTGAATTAAAGGCGATGCCTGGTCGACTTACATAGCGACCATCATGCAAAAAGGGTGTGTTGGTTAACAGACTGATAAAACAGATCTGCGAGCGAATTAAATACGGTTTTGAAATGGAAAGTTGATGGCATTATTCAGACTGTTGCTTGGGCTGGGTTTTAAGAATCTTATATGATTATAGTATTATTTTGTCAGTTCTAGATCCACTGACATCCGGTAACATGTTTTTCGGTTGGTATAATTGATTTGCCAAAAACTCAGAAATAGGACTTTATCATTACGCTGCACTTCAAGTTTAACACGACGCCCTAAGTCAGATTAAGAATTTGGATTCACTTAAGTTACTTAAAACCCAGCATGTGGAAAAACCTGTAATTCTATTGCTCAAATTTCAACATGATGCAGGCAGACCACATTGAATGGCGATAAAAGGTTAATATTCTTCCAAAACTTTATACAATAGCGTTCGCAATTTTGGCATGCTTTCGGTAAGAAAGAAAGTGAATCGTTGCTTCACCAGGTGAAGTGAATCGCGGATAGCCGATACGATCGAAAAAATCTGTAACGTAATCCGTAAATCTGTAAATTGTAACGGAACACAAATTTTCTTTCACTATACGCGTCGTAAAGATGCCATACGTTTAGATACAGCTTACCACATCTCTAGCTGGCAACAACAGACTTGATGACTGTAACCATTTGAACCACTTGAATAGATTATTGAATATTATAGCAATATATACACGGGTCCGGGTCAACTGACCGATAGCCATGCAGTACAGAATACACGTAGTGTACCGCAAATGACATTTACATATTATTATTGATCGCCATGTGTAAATTATAAGCATAATGCAATGTGTTAGTAGTTTATCTCAATTTACCCCATGCAAACGAAACCTTAATTTCTTTACATTCAGAAGTAAAAAACCTAATGCACGAAGTGTATGCTTGAAAGATTCGAGGTGAAGAACCTATAGTATACGTACTTCGTATAGCTAGTATAGCACAGTACAATAAGAAAAGTACACGCAATCGCCTCCGTGTTCTTTCCCCCCTTGCAGGCTGCTCCATTTACTGTTTAGAGTTGTGCGGAGTGCTCCAGATTTCAGGAGCAGTAATGCAGGCTGCGTTCATTTACTGTTCGGAGTATTCCGGATCTTAATCTTAGGTAATGTAATGGAATAGAACAGAATCACATGACTGTTCTGAACTGTTGCAGCTACACCAACTCTAAAGTAGGGGCAGCAGAACAGAACATGTGACTCACGTGATTGGAAATAGAGGCTTTAGATTTTGGATATCCAATGCACACTGAATAGAATGTTATTTTGAATGAATAACAGCTCTTTATCGATATATACCTATTTTTATGGGGGGTTTTATCGTCACAGCCGGCCACATTAACGTTTGAAACGTTGCGAAACTTACTTATTATTCGAACTAGTGGTGGCTTAAACCCTGTCTATACTATACCGGATTCGCTGGTCACGTTATCTACGTTTGCCGTTAAGGAGCAAAGGTTAGTACCAAATGCTTATTAGTTTGACCGTGGTTTGACAGCTTTGAGCCTTTGATATATTCATTTGGGTCGCTGACATTAAAAAGCATAACAGGCTTTCAATACCTTCAAAATGTGTCCCGCACCGATAGCAATTAGGTATAGTGTAAACGGAGCCATATTATAGCAATGGATGGTTGCACGCACATATAATACACTAAACACTGTTCCAGTACACCATGTGCGGCTCCATTATTCGAGAACAGAGTTCCAAATGTTTTAGGACAGTAAATGGAGCGGCCTGATGGAGTGGGACAGAACACTGTCACGTGAAAGTTCGGAATTGTTCTGATTACCCCTACTTTTAAGTGTAGGCAGTCAGAACACAGCACGTGACGCGTACAATCGGTTCACATGTTTCAAAGTGATGATAACAGATGATGTGTTTAACCATGTGATGTTATGTTGGCCTTATTTTAAGACTTTATCGTCACCCATAGACATATATCTATTTTCAGGAATGTGATGGCTATAGCTGTGAGAGATTCAAGGTGTAAAAGGGTCTAAAAAATGCATTTAGACATGAAAATACATGAAATCATTATACTTTGTATTATGCGAACAATTATAAAACGTATGGTTGAACGTATATGTAATAGACTGAACACTGTTCCAGAACAATATGCGCACCATTACACACGCTTCTCGTACTGTTCTGAATTATCCAGAACAGTAAATGAAGCAGCCCTCTGGTGTGGAAGCGAATTGTCATGGCTACGACCCACTTAAGAGACTGGATAACGACTTTATTAAACAGGATAAGCCAATTTTAAGGTCGAAATATTTTTAATGAGGTCAGATTTGTAAATGTGTGAATAAGTAATAAATTATACACAGTTTCGATGTTTCGTAATCTGGATTTTAAAACGTTTTAAACGCGGAAAATAATGTTTACGAAACAAGTGGATTAAAACAAACTTCGTGATTGTCTACAGACTAAACTTCAAAAGCGCCGAGGGTTCCGAAGTTTACCTAATATTAAAAGTCTCTTAAAGCCCTACCCAGTTGGCACTATTCTAAACATATATTGGGCTGTGATTCAACCAAGAGTCCAGGACGACGGGTTAGATAAATCATATTATTAATTCCCCGAAGCAGTTAAAGTATAGATAAAGGCAAGAAGAGAAAGGGTTAACACAACGAAGCTTTTTCTCTCATTATATTATTCAAGAAACAACGACTATTGCCTGAGTTTAATGCAATAAGTACTGCGACATCCATGCTGTTTTCAGGAAGGATTATACAAGCTTGTTTTTATCCTACTGAGCATTTATCTGTTTGTTTCACAGCTCTAATGCCACACTTACTGTGTACTTAAATGCAGGATCTATTGTTTGGATAGGGCATTAATGAGGGTTCTATAGGAAGGCTATAAATGCAGGCGGTTAAACTCCGCCTTATTGTAGAACCCCACGCCTCTTTAGGGTAAGAATAACCGGAGAAACAAAGAGACATGGTAATTAATTGCCAGAATTAGGAATATTGCTACTAATGATAGGCGTTTAACCACTGTCCAACAAGTCAAGGGGATATTAATGTGCTGTTATTTCGAATTTGTCGTTCAAGCTGTCGGGTGCAAAATGAAGTCTCTCTTCGGTGTCGTATTCTCCATATTTCTTATCATTCCGATTTGTGAAACCGTTGTGTACAGTTGGCTCATGAGTCTGCCAAAAATCGACGGAGATTCTCCGCGAAGTCAAAACGATACAAGCCGCTTGTTGAACCAAACCAGCCAGAAGGTAATTATGACAGCGCTTGGCAGCTAGAATACGTATTTACCGGACTTACACGCCGGCAAACATGCATGTTTGTGTTTCGTTCTGTACTTAATGTCTTATTTTCCTCAGACGTACTGCACCAAGGATCGCCAGTGTGGAGCCACAAACTATTGTCATCGTCACTACGGAATATGTCACAAGTGCAAGAACGTTGGAGCGAAATGCCGTCGGGATCATGTCTGCTGCAAGGGTCTCGAATGCGTCTTCGGTAGATGTAGAACAATAGTGAAGAAGGGAAACTATCTCTCGCGATGCAGGAAAGACAAAGATTGCAAGCAGGGGCTATGTTGTGCCAAGAGTCATGGGGAGTTTGTGTGCAAACCTATGCTGAGAGAAAACCAAATTTGTTCGGTCCTGGAAGGCGGCGTTGCCTACACCGTTAACCATGGTTGTCCTTGTGACGATGGCTTGGTGTGCACAACTCAAAAACGGAGAAGAAAAGGGTAAGGAAAATATCTATTTTTTGTTGCAAATTTATTGGGGCATTCTGGTAGGCAGGCGTACCAATTAAACTCAATTATGATCATCAGCAGAATATATAATAAGAGAAATTGTGCAATTCACACGTCATTAGTTTGACAACGAGGTCATAATTCTCCCTAACATGTCTTACATTACTGATAAGTTGCATGCTAAAAGCATGGTCTAATTGGCTTATACTAGCATCTTGACAAGCCATGCATTAGATTTAATATTGGAATAGCAATTCTTTCCGGAAAGTATACAATTTACCAAATAGAGCTTAGAAATAAAGACGGGCGCATTTTAGAACGCGAAACTAACCTGTATACAGTATCCCATCAATATAGAAATGAGGAAAGTGTTAGACAAAGAAATTGTTCCAATTCAATTCAAGGACAAAACAGTTAAACTTCTGACGCCTGCATGAATTATTAGAGAACAATTCAAAGCTTATTTATCTCAAATGTCAAAGCGAAATGATTTGCCATCGCCATGCGAAACACATGTTCATGTTTCAAGAAACACTTAATTCCTGTTTATCAAGGAAGATGTGCGTAACGCCAAAATGAATGCATATAGAGTACTGTTTAGGTCGAAATATCGACCTTTACTATAATATTGTAAAAAAACATTTGTTAGCAGTATACGTGTTAATTGAAGACCTATGCAATTACAGAGCATGATCGAAATCCATGTAGGGTCTAGTGAATATATACAGCCCGGTGAAATAAATAAAAGCGTGAACTTTTATCTAAAAAGACTTTTATCCTACAGAGCACACGTGTCATATTCTAACCGTCTTAAAGTATGTCCACCTTCGCGAGTGGGATTGAATTTATTATAGTGGCTCTATGTATTAGGTTGTTAAGAATTGCCAAAAGTGATCAAGAGTCAACAAAAATGTAATAAAATTTGAGGAATTTCAGACGTTACGAGATATTGAAATATTACAAGTTGATAATTTAGTAAAGCTGCTTATTCGCTGTGAATTAAGCCTTATTAACGCCTACAGTAGAAAGCTCGTCTTTAAGTCGTGTTTTCACAATATAGTAATTTTCAGATTCATTCTATTTTTCCAGGTTAAAAGAAACCCACAAACTATCGCTGAGACGCTGTAAGAAAAAGCAACCTAAATGACTCATAACAATCGTAACTGGATTAAAAATGGTGGACATATATATATAAATTAATTCCGTAGTGTAATATACAAATGTGGCATCAATATGATATAAATATAATATAGTAAGTGAACTTCTTCGTGCATTGCATTGTGGTGCATTTAGGGGGATCAAATAAAAAAATTTCTGCAATAAAAGAAACTGATTTAGGTCAGTCTGTCGAAGTGGTTCTGTTCATGATTCAGAAGCTCTCTATAAGATGGTCTTTACAATTGTAAAAAAATAATTATTGTTACCGAACATAAATTAATTAGTTATGGCTTTTAATGCGAATTTCAGAACTCGTTATATTTCAGACTTTTACGTTTCGACTTGCGTGTGATTAAAAATGGCGTATATTTTCATGTATAAGCTTAGAAGGCCCTAAATTTTGAAGGAGAATTTTTGAAATTGGTTCCTCAAAGTCTACGTCGTATTTTTAATACCATGTCCACATTTAAATCCAATGACTTTTATACATGCACGATGCATGAATACGATTTTCGTTCTTATTTCTTTTGGGCATACATTGCAAATTTTATACGGATAAATAATGGATAGGAAGTTTAAAAACTCCACCTGAATAAAACCTTTAGAATTCGTTATGGTACATAAAATTAGCATTTAGAAACGCACTGGGACAATGGAATCATTAAAGCATAAAATTAAAAGGTAGGAAAGTTGACGTTGTTTGCCAACCCGATGATAATAGATCAAATATACAATACCTGGACTGATTCCAATGGCTGAGTAGAATTGGCTAGCTGTGCCACCCTATTCACTTTGAACCCAGTGGCGCACCCAGGGTGGGGACTTCACCGAAATCTCACTAGGATCGAGTCTCCAATATTGGCGTTGCTGAGGCTATAGACGCCTCCTAACAAGATTAAATTGAGGAAACTTTTTTCTTGGGACGACTTAAAAGCAGTAATTTCACAGGGAATCAATTTTTAGGTAGGGTTGCAAAGGTGTCTATTTCGAATCGGACCCACGAGTTGCATAATAATATCATCAATGAGTAGAATATAGCCGGCTGTGCCACCTTGTTCACTTTGGACGAAACAGCACAACATAAAGTTGCCCTCCTGTTAGAAGACGTGGTAAATTCGAAAGGTTCAAAGGGTCTTAATTTCGAGTGGAATTATACAGACTTTAAATTCAAGCCTTTAGACTTTACCTGCATCGAGTGAAGTGCCAAAAATCATAATTGATTTACCCTCACCTATTCCCAGCATTACCATATCATATTATACACATTAACTAAGCTTGCTCTTGTCTGTAGCTCAGTGGCAAGAGCATTGCACCGGCGTCGCAAAAGGGTAGGTTCGATTTCTGCCGGAGGACCGATATTTTACTAATTTTTAATATTATAGTTTTATCTATGTTCTCAAACTCAGAGACATCAGTTAAGGCTGGTTTCAATTTAATCGTTACGATCTCTTCAGCAGTCATTACGACCGCTACTGATCGTACTTATTAAATGGAAACCAGCCTTTAACAATTAGTAAGTCTTATTTACTGCCGGATAATCTCATGCAAACCCTTTCCCCTTATCAAAGCTGTTTTCTTTTCTCTTGATAAAATTGGGTTTACTATTTAGAATTGACTGATCCCAAATATTCACTGATTTTTTTATGAAAACAATTGGATACCATGACATACCATACACACTATTTACCAGCATTCATATCAAAGACTGGGTAATGGAAGAACTCGGGAGCAGGGGAACTGGGGAACATTGGAGCAGGGGAATTGAGGAACTGGGAAGCGGAAAGAATGAGGAAAAGAGAAATGAAGGAACTGCGGAGTAGGATAACTGGGTAACGGGGAATGGGGAGAAGGGGAATGGAGGGACTGGGGAGTAGGAGAAATGTGAGACGTGAGAACAGAGGCATCAGGCAACCGGCGGAATATAGAGGCAACCGGCGGAATATAGAGGCAACCGGCGGAATATAGAAACTGGGGAACGGAGGAACAAGAGAATGGGGGAAACAGGGATGGAGAGCGGGGGGAAAAGGGAATTCCTCTGTGGCTTTGTCCCCCAGTTCTCCTGCTACCCAGCTCCCCCATTCCCCTGTTCTCTTACTCCCCAATTCCTCCAAAGTAACACACTATTCAATTGAAAATTTGCATGCCAACTAAATGAACACAGTAGCTTATAGTAGTTCCATTAAAAGTCACACAACAATACCATCATGCTATTTATAATTTTGATTTTTACTGAAAGGGATGTATATCATGATTTTTGAATAGTGTAAAATCAAATACAATAGTTCCTTTTGCACTACAGTCAATTTATTGGTCTATGGGTACCCGTGGGCCCAATTTTAGTAGTGTTCAGGCTACCAAAACAGGGCCGAGCACAGATGAAATGGGCACGGGTACCCATTTTAGCCGTGCCGTGCCAATAAATCGAGTGTCGTGTAAATGGGGCTAATAATGCCTTTCACAATATTACTTGCCAGGTTGGCATTATACAAAGTAATAACCATAAAAATATTTGTAATTAGGATCCCAGATGCAGAAAGCGATAATACTGTTTATTATATACACAAGCGCTAGATATGAGGTATACGTATGCTGCAATTTAATTGGTTGGCTACTAGACAGATATTAGCTCATATCTATCTAGTAGAGAAAGTAAACAAAATGGCTGAAAGATTTGGGGAGTTAAGTGAAAAAGAAATCCAAGCTTTAGTTGATAATAGCCCACCAAAATGCACCGAAAGGGCGACAAAGTTTGTGTGTACGACTCGAGTTCGCAGAATAACTGTTAAATACACGCCTATGGGGATAGTTTATACTAACAGTTGTTACTTTAATTAGGTTCAAAACTATTACTCTTTAGCTGTTCAATGAGTCCATAGTTCCACCGTTCCACCTGTTTCCCTGTTCCCCCATTTCCGGTTCACCGATTCCTCGTTTCCCCATTTTAAAGATGATGTAATGAAAATCTCGATAAACAACTCACGACATTTTCCGAAGGTCGTGACGAGCGCGCGAGCGAGTATGTTCGTCATCTTTCGTCCATCCGAGAATGGTGGAGAATGGAAGAACGAACCCACAGACACTTTTCGACAACATAGTGGTTAACCGCGCATGCGCCGCGGCTACTCACAAAAACTGGGCTAGCGAAGTTGCGAAAGGGTCTCCAATTCTGTTTATATACCAAATTCTGTTTATATACTCGATTACGTAACTGCTGCATACTCACCAGCCAAATGTCTGTATTTGCCCGCTATAATTATAAAATGTACAATAAATACATTCTTGCAGTTGTCCCACGTACGTCAAATTCGAGCATTTCCTTTAACGGACAATGTCAGTTTTATGACTAAAACATTCCTTTGGGTCTCCATGCGATTCTTACACTGCGATTTCCAGGGCTCTTTTTTTAACCATTTCGAATAGGCACAGCTCATCAATACATCCGTTGATAGCTCATGAGTCTTGTCAAAATATCCCCTCAAAATAGTTTCGAATACGGATATTATATACTTCTTGGTCACATAAAACGGTCGTTTCGATGTCAAATTTAAGCTGATTTTACCCTTCGCAATTGACACGTTCATGATGGTCGACATACCTTTTCGAAATAACCAAGTAAAGTTCCTTCTCGCCAAGAAGTTAATCAAAATAACGTAAGTATGATGCTTAGTATACATACAATGCTACAACAGCAGCAAAATGAAATCTTATGCGTGCAGGACGGGAAGAGAGCTGCAACTTCCAGGTTGGAATGATCAAAAATTCGTTGTCATGGATGTCGGAAAATGGACCTAAGCAAAGGACCATACACGCTGTACAGAGTGTCCCAAAAGCCCCAAAAGTACTCAAATCACCAGTTGTTGGAAATTGAATGACCTGTTCGTGAATTCTTGCCGGTGGGGATTAACGCAACTTATTAAATACTAAATAGGCCTATACAAAAATTTAAAATTTGCTAGAGAGGAGGGACATGTCGATGGTCATGGAGCTGGAGTTGTAAATATAAATATTGCTATCCATATCTGTAAATTTTAAACAAACATTTAGACACTTGTGGCTCCGGTCCATATAAAGGGTGCTTAGACATTCAAACTCTATTATATTGTTATGGGTCATTGCAAGAGTTTGGGGTTTTGGGGGACAACCTGTTGGGGTTTTTTTGGGATAGCTCAGGATAAAGTTTCCGGGATGTCAGTTGTCACTGATGCACAAAGCGCTTTGTCCCCACGGAGAAAAAAATGTACTTGGTCGTGATGACTGGTTTTCATATATCGCCGTTCATCGGCGATGTCTATTGTCGGTGGTAATTCATGCATAAATTGCTTTGTCTATCGAAAAAATTATTTACTTCATTGGTCACCGGTAACGATTGTAGAGCATCGTCGATGAATTACGTCATACGAGAACCATTGCCTGGTTCACACTCGTCGTAAGAATCTGGGATTCCCTTTGTCTGAGGTCACTTGTGCATAAGATCCTTTGTCTATCGGAAAATAATACAGTGGATCCCCGATTCTTAGGAGCTAGTGTGAATCAAGAATCAGGCCTTCTCATTGTCTGAGGTCACTAGTGCGCAAAATTCTTTGTCTATCGGAAGGTAATACAATGGATCCCCGATGCTTAATTAGGAGCTAGTGCGAAACAATAGATCTTAGAGCATCGCCGACTGTCCGCGAGTGATGAAAATCAGGCTTGGCTTTAATGTCTGAAAGTTTTGTGATCACGACTATCGTGAGTTTTTTATTAGTAATATATATATTAATAATATATCCTTTAATATTTCAGCGTATACGATAGTAAACCTGTTTACACAAGCGTATACGTTAGTAAACCAGTCCTTGGTTAATATTCCGCCAATATTCTTATAATAAACATAATTATGAAGCTAAAATTGATATTACATTTTTACAAACTTCTAAGCTAGAATGTGTTAGTCCGAGAAAAGAATTATCGTATTCGATAGCAATCTGTACAGTTGATGAGAATTTAGGTAGAAAATGTCGGAGTTACCCCATCACATTGATATAGATAATATGAAGTGGCTGGATGTTGATAGGGAGTCACAAATACTGTACTTTTTTAATTGAAGCGAAAAAAACTTAGGATATATACTTCAGGGAACGCACTTATGTTCAAAGCATCCCTCACAGACGTCCCATGTACCATCGTCACATGACGATCATTGTTGTCTTAACTATATGGAAAAGTGGAAATAAAATACGTAGAAATAACTTTGTATGCCGATAAGCGTTTTGAATGCCCCGAAAACAATTTTTTCTCTATTTAAAAATAAACTATTCAAAAGCAGGTTGTTATAAATTCTATATGTAAACCTAAAATCGTTCTTTAAAGAATGACTTATAAAAAACGCAGTATCCGGATCATTTTTGTTCCAATCGGCGGATAACTAACTTTCCGAAAAAATGAAAGGGAAAAAATTTCTGACATGATCAATGCAACTATGCATTTTTCCAAAACCGGACTATGGAAGATGCTTAATATAAAAACTTTGTTTTATTCTTCTCTATAATTAATCTGGAAATACGTCCAACTCGGAAAGGTCACTCAGTTATTCCAATATTTTCGGCGGGGGGGGGGGACCAAGTGCGCAACAACTCATTGTAGATATTTTCACATTTACAAGGGAAATATTTCATAGAAAATAGGAACGAAACAAATCCAAACCACCCACGCAGTTGCACTGCTAGAAAACGAGGAAGAACGGACCGGGTTAATTCCAGTATTCCGGTTAATAGTACTCGACGGTCTCTTTGTTTTTCGTTCAACGTATTGTCGAGGAACCGACCTATTACACAGAAAAAAATTAAGATCAAATCTACCGCACTTTTATATGGAGTATGGAGAACAATTAGCAATTTTCTTTGGCTAGCTTGTAGTCGCATCAGTTGTTGTTTTGAACAGCTGTCTAGCTTGAAGATTGGAATTGGAATGATGTTTTGATTGTTCAGTAATTTTAGACCAACAAGTTACGACTTCTCGTAAATTGGGGTGATAACTTACGTTGCATCTAAGATGTCTGGACGATTTGTCCAAGTGTGGATTCTCTCCCAGAGGTTATCAACATTTGAGATTCTTATTTTCTGTTTTCTTCTCCTTCTGCGTCGCCCTCTCTTTTTCACTCGCTTCCGTGTCCATCGAACTTTCTTCGCCGGTCTCTTGGCGGTACGCATATTTCCATACCTTTAATAATAATGCAGAAAAGAATAGTTAAATTTATAATCCAATATTTCAATCTATTACAAATTGTACCCGAAATAGTTTCGACTGGTCACTAGTTATTCGAATTTAATTTGCGCACATATTTTGTGACTTTAAAATTAACCATACTTATTTATTGATTTTGGAGTACGAGACACCGAATATTTCTACCGATGGCCACTATTTCACCTATATTCCTCGTAAAAGGCATTGTATTTGATTTTTTCATTCACAAGCACGATTCTCAAGTAAATTTACCATATAATATCACAGGAAAAGCTAACAATTATAGTGAATGGGGCAAGTCGCGCATTCCTATGATTATTTCAACTGGTATAAATTACTCCCCCCCTCCCCTAATTTTCGCTCGCCACCGTTCAAAGTAGAAAGGCGAAAAGCTTATTTATTTTATAAAAAATGCAACGGTTTTTTTTATTTGCCGTAGCCGGTAACGTAAAATCTCTCTTATAGAACAGGGATGATATTCCTCACCTTGGCAATGCATCACCTGGCTTGATATGCGTAACGTTGTGTCCTTTTCTCTTCAGGATATCAATAACGCTACCATTTCCCAGAAAATGACCTAAACAGCACAAAAAAATCCTAAATTTAATTGCCATGTAAATGATAGATTGGTTTGTTGGCGTTTTCGTGTTTCAAATTTATCGAATATGCTTTCCGAGCTTCTACGACTAAACTGCGGATTTCGTGTAGCATATGTTATTCATGCGTTTAGCGAATCCGTAGTTTTTATAAACTGTTTCAGTTTAATCAAAGCCAATATTGCGTTTTATGACAACTCAACGCCGCGAGTAGAAAAGAGAAAAGTAGGGTAAAGAAAATTTAACCGTTGATATTTAATCGTTTGATTATGAAAAGGGATTCAAACAACGCGGCTTTTAGGCTGAACAGCGCTCAAGGCTCAGATTCTAGCATAACATCTGGGGTTTCGGAAAATATTAAAAATTCCCCCTTCATTACAATATTATAAATTAATAACCTTTTAATGCAAACGGCTAATGTGTAAAATGTTTTTGTTCTGCAATAACATTCTGGACATGGCGCCTTTGCCATGGACCCCCTGTGCTCCCTAGTCTGAGCTCTAGTAGTTCGCTAATGGATTATATAATAGACTCCGTCGAGAAATATTGATAATGAATGCATGTTTGGCGATTTAGGTGTATGTTTATATTTTTCAGCTCGAAGGCAACTAGTATACCTTATTCGTGATAATTATATTAACATATAGCAGTTGTTTTTGAAAAAGAAACAAAGTCTTCTCTCGTAAATTACCTGCGCCAAAAGCAAAGAAAAACTTTTTCTTTGGCTCTTCCGCGATGAGTTTCAGAACGCGTTTTGCCATCCTTCGATTACGTTTGAATATCAGTTCTTCTTTCAAATATTCATCCAGTTTTCTCGTCTGTTCAATTTCATACTTGTTGCTTGGAATTGATGTATTCTGTGGACTGAGGGAACTCGTCTGGGCGAGGAGCACGTCGTTGAGATCGCCACAATTGTAATGATAGATCAGTTCTTTCGTAGAGATGGTCAACTCAGCCAGGCCACGTCTTATTTTCTCATGTAGAACTAAAGTCTGATTAAGGGCGATGATCACCTAAAATTGATGAAATGAAGAGACAAGATTGTCAAAATATGCTTTTTTACTTCTAGTTCATTTCTTGGTATGAATGTCGGAGACTTTCAGTGGAACAATCTAAAAATTTTTTGGAGCTGGACAGGACGATCTGCGATTTAAAAGTTATCACACCGATTTCGAATCACGACGCAGCATGTCCCTCCGTTTCCAATAGAGTAACTGAAATATATGAGCTACGGCGACAAGTTGTTTGACGTTTACCATAATTTGCTTATAGTGCATACACAGTTTTAAGTGATGGGTATTGAATATTGACTTAAATGAGAGGGTTTTTTTCATATTTTTCGAACTTTTCGGTGTTGCATTGCAAATAATTGAGCAAATAAATAATAGTTTTGTAATTTTCCAGCGTTGTTGCCATTTTACTGCCGTTTCCGTTTCTGTGTTTTAAATAGTGACTTATTTACACATTAAATAAGTTACTGTTGATGACTAATTAAGTCTCTGTTTGATGCCACGTTTACACTAGGCTATAAGTTGGTACACGTAAGCCTTTGTTTTGGTAGCCTGAACATTGGGAAAGAGTACCAACTTGGCAAGGGCACAAATTTTAGTCGTTCCGTGCCAATAAGTTATGTGTAGTGTAAACGGGGAACTGATATTCAAATTATAGAGTGAAAACTCGAATCTTCCTTCGATTAGAAAGTTCATCAAATGTCTTTATGATATTATCGCATTCCTGTGCGGACATCATAATCATTAGATGATAGATGCGTGGTTGTGACAGTTGCTTTGCAAGAATTGTCTTTATATTTATGCCTAATTTTCGGCCTCTCACTCGGAGGCAAATATCAGGTAAGAGAATGCTAAAGAGCAGCCAACTTAGATTACTTTTGCAAATGAAAGATTGGTACTTCACTTCTAAGCCTGTCACACGAGCCTATCGTTGGTCAATCTGGTTGCAATTTTTATTGGTTGTTATTTTTCTTGAGCACATTAAGCACGTATAATAGGTCATCAAAAATACGAACAAGCTATACCCATGTATCATTGTTGAGAAAAGGCATGACTGCTGGTCATTTGCTGATTTAATTGTATACTCGGTAAGAATAAAAGTCTCTCAACTGAATTCAATCCCTGAATTGAACCTAAATCGACTATTTACTCCTTCTTGAGAGAATTTTCTTTGTATGATGATTGACGACATTAATAGCAGGAAATACTTCCTGATTTTCCAAAAATACGCTTCAGAAATAAGAAATGAATGGAATGCCTGAGAAGCTAATTTACTTTCGTTCTAAAGTCTAAAGGGCAAAAATGGATCAAATGGTTCTTTTACATTCCTGCAATTGAATATATGCTCAAAGCGAAAGTCAAATTACTAAAAGGACTACAGCATTTAAGGCTACACCATACTTAGCTAATAATAATTCATACCCTAACATAACTGCAAGGAGAAATACGATACTGTATGTAATTCGAATGATGATTGTCAACTATAGTCTATAGTTAAACAGTGTGTAATGAAAGAGAATCAAACAAAATTTCACTTGAGCTGAATAGCCAAGAACTCATGCATTTTAACAAGAGAAAATACCGTCATATATTATTAGTATAGCCTATAAAAAATATCACCTAATACTGGTGTTAACGCGTTTGAGCGAATGAAAAGATATTGTTGTATTGATAGGCAGGCGTTGGCCCCTTGCAGTGCTTTGAATATGTTTCAGCTGTAAACAAATTAATTTTTGTTTACCGAGTGACAAATTTCTAACACTATATGGCAAAAGATATATGTAGAGAAAACTAGCTGAGCTAACCTGCTAACGACGTATACCTCATTTCGACGTATAACAACAAACGTAAGTACTTTTCCTAACGAGGAAAAGGATCTTAGTGAGTTGTCATTATTTTTTGAACGATCTTTTGCAGGAAACACACTGGTGTACAGGGGACTAAATACCTTCCTCGAGACTAAATACCAAAAAGAATATAAGTGCTTTAACAACGTTCTCTTGACACCGCTTTCCTTCTTTTTGTTCTGCTGAAAAACACATGCTTCCCTCTTGGAGGTATCACGTCGTTGTTTATTGAACATATCAAACAACACGCATTGTTTATCATTGCAAACATTATAGTTCTTTTTTCTATATTATCAACGTCTCTGCAAAGGCTGTTTTGTTAACATAATGCATGGGCGTTTTTACGATCGAAAATGTTTCAGTAATGCAGTCCCCCTGTGATCATAACTCCTTATTTTGTTACAGACTATTAAGCCGCGACAACATCCATCGTACGTGTGTGTACGTAAAACTGTATCACAGTGATATGTCCTTAAAACTATATGCGCAGCTAATATAAAACTGGCGAACGAGCTCCTGATAATCGCAAATTTGACTCGTTTTCTCATTATATTTAATCCTGCTGAATCTCGTCATTATACATGTAGAAGGATTATTTTGTTTACTTAAAAAAATGATGTCTTAATTATCTTCTATCTTATGCTAAGCGGTCAAAATCAACGCAAAGTTTCTGCGTATGAGGCTCAACTTTGGAGTCTTTCAAATAAAAAAGTTTTTGAAATTCCAATATCCCTTCAAACATTACGCCGAATGTCCCTCTGAGCGCTTTTGCGGTAGACTTTCCTCTGCATTTCTTAAAAAGCCCTTGAAAATTTGGTTCCTCTTTGTGCCATGTGCACGAACTATGAACTTTGGCAGTAGATTGGCAGAACATATATCTAAGCAAATCCATGCACCTACGCCGTAATACTGCGCGTGCGCTTGTGCTCGCATTGCTTATTTACATCAGTTGGTACTAAAGGTTTTTCAAAATTCAAATCAATGGGCTGACGAGTTTCAATTAATAATTACGATTCATCTGTCATATCATTTTTGTTGCCCACAACGTTATATAGCGTCAAGTGGACGTTTAAGTGCTGGTGCTTAGCAATTACAAGACATTACATCTGTTGAATACAAAACTTCTTTTTTCTACCGAAGGTTCGAATACTTGGCATGTTGTGTTGCATACAAGCTATTTTTATGGTAATGCTCGCAACATGGGGCTTATCTTGTTTGTCCACAATGACATAATGTCACTATACAAAGACGTTGATGGAAAGAATGGTTCTCCGCGTGATTTTTGACTCGCGCTGTCGTGCAGCGTGACATAATGTGCATGGTACTAAATCTAGCCACAGTATAATTGCTTCGCTTATACACCGGATTCATATTTTGCATTATTTTTCAGGCCACATGCCTTCTCGTTCATTCTTAACCATATACCGTTGTCCTAAAATGGTCACGATGATTAATAGCCGTGCGAAAGCTCAAGAGACTTCTAGATAATCTAACAGCTTCCTTTCGATATTTAACAATGAATTTGAACTAAATATTAAAATGCTTAACCGGAGACAGAATTATAATAAGAACAGCTGCAAATATGCAGCTACATTGAAATATTGACAGCGTTATATACAGCGTATTATGACGCCAGTTTTGTGAGGCAAATATGTGGACAATGATGTAGAGAGTTGAACACTGCATGTCGAAATGCTGCCCCTATTAATAATCGCATGGTTGCTCTACAATTGGAAAATTTCGAGCAATGTTGCAAAAATATGTAGGCCATCATCTGTCCCTCCCAACTGTCAATCATGTATCATGAATTGGTGTTACAAAAATGAAATAGATATACGATAGATCATTATGCCATAAACGGGTTAATTGAAGATTATTAATTAGGCCTTTCTACTATATTGCCAAAACCACTCCCTTTGTCGAGTAAAATGTCTTAAACAATTCCAATAATTTAAAGTTTAGGCCCGATTATGGCTGCTATAGAGTCGAATCAAAGCTTCTCTTTATAATGCTGAAGAATGATGAAAAAAAATCGAGATAGGCTATTTATGTATAATGCACTGATATAATTATATTGAAAAGCTGATAACAAAGTAAATCCTTTATATACCCGGTCACAATAACCTACTCATAAGCATCGACCATGTATTGTGTGCATTTCACAAAGCTTAAAACAAGCTATTAAAATGTACTTTTGTCTCAAGATGTTGAGCAAATACATTGATTGAATTCAAGATACGATATATTTATCGATATTTACGATAACTGTACCGGCGAGGTTGCTTTATTATATTTCATAATTCGTTATTTCAATGATATACTATTCAAGTTTTTTCTTTTATTCAAAGCAACCCAGCAATAATACTCGCTACAACAGGCAAACTCATGTTTATAATAAATTATAAAAGCAGGAAATCTTCACAAGCAGACAGTTAGCTTATCATAAAAATTCATGCAGTTCCACGCGAAGATAATTTCATATATTGATCGGACAGAAGTTTTGTCAATAGTGCATCATGTTTCCGAAATCATATCTATCCATGGACAACGAGGAGACATGGAGCAAAAAATTGAACGATTGAAGTAAAATTGGTAAAAGTAGACATGCATAATAAATAGCCAATTTGTCTTAAAGCGTAGCCTTCATGGTTGGGATGATCGAAATACTTCGTAACTGAGTCGACGAATTGATAAGCCCCTATAGCAGCTAACTAAGAATGATTAGAATAGTAAAGAAATCTATGGCACTGGGCATATAGTACAACATAATATTATATTAGACTACCATAGTGATGCATATTAGCGTTAGAAAACAAACACAAGCGTGTCTTTTTTTTATGTACAGAGATAATGTATATTCCTGCATGTATGATATATTTTCCTTTATAATACCAATGAACGATGAGAAAAATTCGAGGTATGCTATGTTACGAGGCTATATGTTGTATAATGCACTGATAATTATCGAAAAGCTGATTACAAAGTAAATCCTTTATATACCCAGTCACAATAACCTACTCATAAGCATCGACCATGTATTGTGTGCATTTCACAAAGCCTAAAACAAGCTATTAAAATTTGAAAAGAATCGGGTGGGAGGGCAAGCCTTTACAACAAAGAAATATCGGAGCATATATATATAGACATATAGTCGTTACTACATGAACACTCTGCTTATAAAATAAGCGGCGTGCGAACAACTGCCCGTTGGGTTTCATTTGCCGTATTAGGATCCTTGACCTTATGTTGTAGAAACCCATTCTCATTCGAGCTGCTTAACAAAAAGCGAGGGTTAAAAAGACGATTTTGCAATAACGCAATATATACTTTATGCTCGGTATTCTCCAGAAGACTTAAGTTTGATAGAATATAAGCCAGTTCACGCCTTAAACTTAGCGTAGACGATATCAGATGCCTACATAGACCAGTTTTTCTAATGTAGGGTTAAAATATAACTGTTGCACGTAAATTTCACGTGCACTCCTATACCACAGGTATCATCATTGCACAATTTCGCGAAAATTAAAAATTGTTTCCACTGTAGCTACAATTTAGCTAGACATGCAATGCAGTATGTGTCTTCTAATTTGATATGATTTTCATTCAATTTTAAAAATGCTTTTCCAAAAAGAACCTTTTATACATCTGCATGGCCCTGAACAGTTCCACTGGACATGGACATGAAATGTTCGAAAAAGGGGGCATGGTCAACGTTAAAAACCAAGAGTATCGGGCTAATGTTGCAGTCCAGACTTGAATATCCATTGCCATTTTTCGTAGATACGATTAAAAGGATAGTTCCGAAACGATTATGTATTAATGACAATTACGAGCTAAAATTTTGGAGGTAGAATTTGGGTGAATTATGGTGTATTAAAATGTGTCTTTCTTTATATAAGCATTACCTGACTGTTATTAAGAGCATTTAAAGGTCCACATTGTTCTTCGACACTCTCAATTGATCCCTTCCTCTTGTTTAACAAGGAAGCCTCGCGGATCAGAAACGTGTCAAGGACGGAGGTGCCACGATTTTTCGTGTCGTACTCGTTTAAGGCATTGAGCAGCAACATGATCCAGATGGGCCTCTTTCTCCGCCAGTCCTTCGTCATGGACGTGAACAAATCTACTGGATTCAAGCCCATGCTTCGCTGTTCCGTCGTCATCCACCGAGGAAAAGTTCTCTTAATGTACGACAAGTGCCGTCGAATCCGTCTGAACAGTGTCCTTGGGATCACTTCGCGGAGCTGCGTTCCTCCCGGGAGGATTTGACACTTGGCAAGCGTGTGCTGAGTTACCGAATCCGTTAGGTCAAGCTCAAAGAAGATATTATGGGATTCGTAAAACGCCTGCTCGCTATTCGCCGGAATGTGATCCCACACTTTCGTATACGGTACATGTATAGTACCAAAAAAGTACACGGGAGGATTCCTCTCCAATGCCCAAAGAAACGAGTTGAACTGTCGTGGCTGGAATTACAAATATATCAACTCAGAATAATTATTCGAAGTGAGAATTGTAATTGGTGTATCGCTTATCTTACCCCGTCAGATGGACATTCCCCTGTGCTATCGAAGTCTCGTTTCGTCAAACGTCGTGTAATCCGATCGTCGTTTTGCTAAAACGAAAATTTCGTCGTCTTTTAGGTAACAGAAATATACAAATAATTAAATCAACAGAAGGTCTCACGGTCGTTACCCGATTTAATTCTATATTTGCTTACCAAATTAACAAGTAACCAGAGCCACAGCGCGTAAGTGGCCATTTGTTGTCTATGAGAAATTATCGAGTACGTGATAATAACGTATTATCAACGGAAGCCTCCAAAACGCTTCGAACATGTTTACTTTGTGCCCTGCGAGTCTTTCGCCTATAGCTTTCGGCAGTTAACCTCGCTTAGCTACTGTTCATCTCGTATAATGCTGAAACAAAAGACAAGAGATTAATCAACTTAATGTCTCCTCTAATTGGTCCTCTGCGCTTCCTTCGCCAATCTACTCCTCAATAAAAGGCACTCAACCACAGCAGGGAACCGACATTAAATTGCCGAGTCAATGTATATTTTTAAATATGAAATGCAGGATAAAAAAGGACTCTCCTCGGACATCTTGTTCGTGTGCTAGACGATGAACATGGTTCCCATTTGTGGACATGGTCTACGGTGGGAAATAAACTACAAAATCTATTGCATGGCAGAATTTAAACATAACCCCACATCCGCTCGATAAATATTTGTATATGACACAGATAACGTATATTCTAATTGGATAATATATTTTGTATAACCTGCTCGGAATCTATAGCCCAATCAGCTTATCAAAATTCGATCATGAATTCGAATCGGCTTTCTCATTTTCTTGGTCGTAGTGATGTATTCTTCCCGAAATAATTTATATATATATATACAAGCATTCCGATATTCTTTCCGATCAATTATATACTAAGCGGTGTAGTGAAAGTGTGCGATACGCATGCTTGATTTTAAATTGAACCGTTTATTATTTCGTATTCGTCTTAACATTCTGATCTAGTATATTTGTTGTACCATTTGCTGTTAATCTCATTCTGCTAATTCAGAAATAAGCAGTTTAATGTCATGTTTGTCTTCACTATGTAAATATTTTGCCATTGAAACGATATTTTGACGTATAGAGAGACTATATATAGGTACACAAATTTATTCGCTGCTTGGCACATACCGTTAGTGTTGTTTATCGGAACGAGTAGCCAAAGACCATTGATATCGAAGACTTTCTTCTCAAGCGATGTGTAGGCTAAACTAATCCCTGCGAAAACCTTACCAGAGAATACAAAGCTAACTTTCTGTGAAGACTAGTTCTATATAATTTCCAATCCTCTCTTTGAACGAATGGCAAATATTGACGGTATTTTATATTTCAATGGAATCAATTATATAGCGTTATTATAGACACATTTTTTTCAGAACACGTGCTATCTGTTCACTGATCCCAAAATTAGGTACCAGATAGTGGACTATAACACAAACCTTTGGTAAAATCCTCACCTTGGCTTGGTACATCAATTAAAATATGCCTCCCTTCAATTTTACTCACACCGAAACGCCGACCAATTCAGTTCCCCTCTAGTTCAGAGGTAAGGTTGGGGCATGGAGACCGAGTAGACAGCAGAACGTGGCAAACTCACCCAAAGTAGAGCGGGATTTTCCATTCTATGCATAACCGATCTGCTCATTTGGAGACCATAGCCTTCTAAGCGCGTACTGAGATTCTTCAGCTCACCAGTCACAACTACAGCAGCTATAGTATCAAGAATCTGATTTTATTACTTGGTCTAACTGATGACCATAATTATTTTCCTGTAGTGAAACTGTATTGACAGTAACGATAATCAGTTTTCCCCACGTCCACGTAGGTTTAATGAATGGCTCAAGCCCCATTTACATTGCAACCGATTTCAGGTTTGCTGCGAATAAAATTAATACGGATGAAGCTTGACGATCCGAGTAGGTAATCCAAATTTCATGAATTTCAGTTTTATCTGTAAACAAAAATCCTCAAAACTAAATTTAAGGACAAACGTTTTTCTGACTGCATGGGCTTCAAAAAAGTAGCTGCTCCTCAATCCTTTTATTAAACGCGGCTACGAAATTGATTCTTGTGTTGAATGCCGGTTTTTCGAGCCCTTGCAATGGTAACTTCTATCCTCCAAACATGGCTGGTTGTACGAAAGAAGCTGCATGCAAAGCTTTGAACACTACATACATTGAAAGTGAGATCACGAATTTCTAAAATGATTGACTGAAACATTGAGATTCAGTTTGCCCCTTACCTAGTTCCTCAGCAGATTGCTTTTCAGTAAAATAATATATATTATATACACCTTCGTATACAATTGGCAACGATGTGTTTAAATGATTTATCTATAGTAAGTTCTTTTGCAGGCCAGGAAAGATATTTCAACACTCTTTAGCCCCGCTTTTTCCGTCACATATCATATTGATGTTTATTAATATATGCTCGATACAATCAACGTTTTCCAAATTTCAATACTACACATATTTACAAAACTACATGCGCTTTCTCATCAATAATGCACAAAATGTACAATACTGCGCACGTCAAAGTAGGCCGTGAAAAGCTGGTAGCGCTATCCAACACTGAGAAAGTCTTTTTATCGCTTTATATAGTTTGGTATAACACAACCCGGATCTGTAATTTAAATTACAATTTCTTTTTTCTAAAATCTTTATTTTCATGGCTTTATATATTCTTTTCTTTTATTGCTTTTCAAGCATTTTCCAAAGGTTTAAAAATCACTATCCGATGCTAATGGGCATTCAATGCTAGTAAAAACAGACTGCAACAATATCGTGCTACCGTTGCTACGCCTATTGTTGCTAGTTGTTAACAATACTGTTCAGCATTGTTGGACCTTATTGATATTTGATATGTCAGCATAATATTGTTCTAACCTGCTGTACATGCAAAGAGCACAGGTAGGCTCAGCGTTTTTAGCCGTGAATAACACATACTTTTGTATAGCAGGAATCAACGCCCATGCATAAATGTTAACTTCTTATCGAGGTTCATAGTTGCAACTCTTAGTGATGCCAAATACAGACGGAAGGGAATTACCTTCTAGTTTATGACGTTTTCACTGACTGTCAACTGAAAAAACTAGATAACAAAACAAAACGATATGCCACGTCAAATATGAGTACCAAACTCTTGTAAAAAGCTCATACGTTCTGGCTTTAAATAATGTGACAGCCAGTTTGGTACAGTTACGCATGCAGGTTTAAAATACGGCTGCTTTAACTTCAGTCAACTCAAATGTACATGTAAAAACACATTTTGTTTATTGAACATGACTGTCCATCAGGAGTGAGTAGATTACCCCCACGCGGGACGTCGCAAACTGTCTCAATATGTCGTATATATGCGTGGACTCCACGCGCGAATAGAATAATGCGTAGGTGTGGGGAATGGAGCGAAGAATGCATAATAATGAAGCGTAAATACGCACGATTAGGAAAATACGCACATCAGCAAGAATTTACTCATATTACACAAATGCCAAAATTACACGCATGTCGAAGAGTGTAAGAACATGTATGAACAATCACGCTACCAGCATGCCTGCAAATAATGGTAGCGATACTGTGATGATAATAAATTTATCAGATAATAGAGGGCTTAAAGTGGGTATATTTAATTATGCCAGACGAATTGCATTGGAACGTTTTCTTGGTTAGTTTACTCAGGAATATTACTCACTAAGGGTTCAGGAAAAAATATATTACTCAAGTTACTAATACAACACTTTCATTTAGATATAAACATCATTATTTTAACGTTTGTTCATTTTCGGAGTTAATTTTTTAAAAATTATAATCACTGTTCTTGAGAATTCTGGACTGGTCTCTTGTTGTTTTAACCGTGTACTTAATACTATAGATGGCATGCTAAAACAAAAACAACGCCAGCTCATTCCCTTAGCATGGGCAGTGTGGAAATTGCTTGTTATCGAGCAGTAATGCAGTTCATGAGCAGTTATGAGCATGTGCTCATCTGCTCATCGCATAAAATGATACCCGCTTCATTGAGATTTTTCAGGCCCAAACTCCTATAATAAATGTTGCTCAATTTAGAGAACATGTTCATGAGCAGTTATAAGCAGATGAGCATGTGTTCATTAGCCGTTATTATTATTTTTTTTTCTAATAATTTGTCACATTTTAAACAGAACAAACAACTACATAATATTATACGTAATATATGTACACAATACTGTGACAGGAGAAAGGAACAGGACTTTCGTCCCAATTGACAGCTAACCTCTAAAATAATATTGACGTAATTGACGCTATTTGTTGTAATGTCCGCGGCGTTGCATGCTGTCACTGGCCCAGGTGTGTGAACTGGCTGTTGCATCGACGTTACTCGTTGTAACTTGTAATACCATTTCAGCGTTTCGCCCCTCCCTCCTCCCCATTTCCCCCAATTTCAGTTTCCGCTTTGAGTTTCCGTTTCCGTGATTCAGTTTCAGCGTTTTATCCTACCCGTCTATGGTATAACGGCGGACAACTTCAATTCCACACTTCCATTTCCGGGCGGAATTAGTACACTCGCCCAGCGGCTTGGGGATAAATTTTGGCGGGTATGGGGCAAATTTCATCAAGCGCGGCTTACAAACAAAATGAGTGTAGTGTAACTGGCGTTTACTTTAATAGTATACTACAATTTCCCATTTCTATACCATGGATAAATAATGAAAATGCATGAACTACATGAAAATGGCAGTTATGCTGACGCAAAATAAAATTTTAGATTTAGCCAATTAAGTAGCCAGTTTGAGGAATTCCTATACTAGGGTATGCTGGTCCTACACACTGAGCTATATTTAAATTTCTGGAGGACGTGCTCGTAATTTTTGGGTAACTTTGCGACAAAAACATGGCGGATTTCAGCCTCTGCTGACGCCAGATTGACTCCATTTTGTTCCTTTTCCTCGCGGTAATACCACTAACCAGGCTCAATTCTGCGCCCGCTACAGCATGGTACAACCGCAACACCTGGTTTCGATAAAGTTCTAAACAACATCATTCCTGTCCGTTTTTTGTTATTTCTATTTTTGCCGTGAAGTCTTGTTTTGTTTCTTCGATATTATGTTATCTACCTTAACTGCAGGAAAGCAATTATTTATAAAGAGAAATCGATTGGGCGCATGAATACGACTATTTTACGACTATCTGACAGTAATAGGTTTATTTTAATTTCTTTTTTTTCATTCTTTATACATTTCTGTGTAAAATTTTAGAAATGTTGAATTTTTGCGGGCTATCGTCGGACATTTTACAAAAATTTTATATTTTTAGCTCAGTAAAATGCGAAAAAAATACATACCGAAAACCAAAAATATTTTCATAAATTGAAACCAGGAGGAAACCGGACAATTTTTGACCTAGTATAGTATCGCGGTATGTCAGTGGTAACTACCATGAGCAAGGGAACCAAGTGGCGTCAACAAAGCCCAAAATTTGCCATCTTTTTCGCGACACGATCTGGCCTAGAGCATATAGCTCAGTGGTCCTACACTAGCGTATACAAAAACGCCAGTGACATAATGATGCTCAACGTCTATATGACATAATGGCGGACAATTTCAAATTCGCATTTGCATTCCTGGCTGTAGTTAATTCCTAATCTCCTGGTGGGCAAAACAGTTTTGTATAAAAAGAATGTATAAAAAGAAATTAACGACAAACCAAATCTTAATCCTTAAATCAATAACCGCAAATTGCCTTTTTTTAAGCCTAAAATGCATTTATTCGGCTTAAAAATATTGTCCCTATCACAGGAAAATAAATAAATGAAATGGAATTAGCGCTTTTAGTAAAAATGCTATTAATATAAAACGTCTATGATCTACCTCACACTGAAAACTGTTCCTTTTTTACAACGAAATAGGATTCTTTTTGCTTCAATTTGAATTTTGTAACTGTAGTTAGTTTTGCAACTTTACAAGTTATGGTGCACGAAAACAAGGGGAATGAGGCAAGAAAAACAATAGTATTCATAGATTAAAGAGAACAATACAATAAAACAATTTAGCACAATTTAGTCAATTTAGCACTTTTGTTTGCTCATGGTAAAGCCCTAATAATAAAAGTTTCCTTTTATATTTTTCCGAGAAAAAAAATTGTAATTTTTTGTGTAATTATCATTGTGGAACATTAATACACAATTATGAGAGCAGATACATTTTGACATATGTTATCTTCATTTTGTTGTTTTATCAATAATTGTTTTCAAAACTTCACATCGTTTTTCTATGGAAACGAAATATCCCACGACTTCTTCTCTCAAAAAAGATAACTCTTTAAGTTGTAGTAAAATATGACAATAAGTTATTTGCACTTCATGTTTACGGCTTACTAGCTTTTAATATTCCACCAATAGTCCAATACTATAATAGTTCTGAATCACATCATATAAAAAGATATTCAAGGCTAATTAAAAGCAAGTCCATTTTGTTCATGAATATTCTGTAGGAAGAATTTTTTATAATTAAAGAAAAATAATTGTTTTGTATTATTACTCCTGTAGCCTGCATAGTTTTTTCATATCACGGCCCTCGTGGAAATCAATTAATTAGCTATTATCGTGCTCAGATAAGTCCTTGCATGCATGTGTGTAAATAAATTATAATCATGCGGTTGGCTTTCGCTACCCATAATGCCCAACACGAGCAATGCCCACGCATATGGGTTGTCAATTACAGGCCATGCATGCGTCAGCCATTCTTATTATAGCATTTATTGGTTCTTTGCCAAACCAAGGCAATCGGGGTATTTAAAACGATTGAATTATCGAAGTTTCACAAGAGGAAAAACAAGTTTTTCATCGTTTGGCTTTATTAGCAAGCGACATTATTTTCGGCAACTCATTGCAAAAATCAAGATTCAAGACAGCCTCAAATTTTCACTCACATCAGTTTTCGCAACCCGGTTACAATGAAGAGATTGATTGGTACGAAAACTGAAAACCTAAACGCAAAAACCTAATGTTTTTAAACTTTAATTTAAACTCCAACAATTCAATTGCATATCGATATGATATCTTTACCCTTGGCTACAATATTTTAACAAGCGTCTATGTGGCCAATTAAACTATTTGATTGTGAATTATCTACTTAGGTTTGCAGGATTCTTGTCTCAAATTTATCCGGCTAAACGTTTGTCTATGATGCACAATTATTTTTTAAACAATTATACTTGAAAAGTTATAAAGGGAATTACGACCATATTCCAAATGTCTTTTCTATTTTCCGGAACTATTTTCAATTCTATATATACAATGTATATGTATAAATTAATGTTCATCGTCTATATAGTCTATATATATTATTATATTCCTATGTGATATTTGGCACACCTATAGACCTATAATGTTTGCACCACATGCAGAACCTTGCACGAGTGAACTTGGCAGGCTCTTTGAAAAATGTCTTTCGAAACGTCTTATACTACCTCCCGTTCGATTATCACTATTCAGGGGCCGCTTGTTCGAAAGGCGTTTAGCTTAAACGGTGGATAAGTTAAAAATGGAAATGAACAACTGAGCTGAAATATTTCGATGTAAATAGTTTAATTGTCATTGGGAGTACATATTAAATGCATTAGATGCAGGTTCAGTCATTCATAAGATGTATGAGAGTATTTGCAAACTTTATTTAGCTTATCCATGCACCGTTCAAGTTAAACGTCTTTTGAACGACCGGCCCCAGCAGTTCAGTATTGTTCATCCAACAACAGAATTATCTATCCAACTTTAAGTAAATGTTACTGAACACATTTGAATGTATAATTCAACACCCTCAACATTATGCCACTGTAATAATTCTAGATTTACAACACTACGTAACATATATACGTATTGTGTAATTTTAATTATTAGTTAATTTTCTGACAACGTCTTAGTTTCTTCTTAAACTTTTTCTCGGTGCCCCTGTACAATGAATACAAAAGCAATTAGCCAGTCTTAAAGTTATAGTCACGAAAATTGCCTTGTGGAACGACAATTAAAACTTTATGTTGCTTTATGCAATATACAAGTGTATGTTTGTCTTTTGAAGTCGTTTCACTTTGCTTATGGTGTGAAATTAGCCCTGACGGTAGAGTCGTTTATGTATATTTACCTCCGTCGTCACGCGATTAACGAAAGCTTTATTTTAATTCGTAGTCGGGGAATTAAGCAGCTCATATGAAACATGAAGTAGCTATATACCGTTCACTGATACTTTATATCATATATCATGGTAAGGGTAATATCCACGACAGTTTAGAAATGTGATGATTTATAGACGGATGTTATTATAAAAGAAATGTAATACATTTCACCAATCCAATGATGATAATATACAAAGTACTCTTTAAATGTAAGAGCATGTAACCATAAAAACTCTTGACCTTGTATATAAATGCGTCCAATTGATCAACCTGTTGCTTTAAACTACAGTTAATAGAATATATATGGTTTGGAGACTAAATAAAAAAATATACAATACAACTAATTAACTATGTTATTGTCCAGGTTTATGCAAAAAATGGCTCCTTTCTCGTCACGTGTCTATTGTATTTTAGCCAAATTTACCAATGGCATTCGTCTTGCTAAGCTCATCTACCTTGACTTGAAAAATATGTTAAATATAAGATTCTTATTGGTACATACAATAGAGATGTGCTGAGAAAGGAACAATTTTTTAAATAAAATATATCTACCTCATCATAGTTAATGAGTTGTATTGTAGTTTTATGTGGTCTCCAAACCATGTATATTCTATTAATTGTGTTTAAACCGAACTTTGACATGCCTTTTACGCGAGGAAAGAATTTAACAGTTCTAATTAAGGGCATGGGAATTACCTATTACTTCGAACCTTCCATCGTTTGCATGCTAAGCCGTCGTCACAAGGGCATCCATGATTAACAGCATAGGCCACTCCACCTTCCAGGACGGAACAAATCTGATTCTCCCTCAGCAAAGGTTTGCAGACAAACTCCCCGTGACTTTTCGCACAACAAAGTCCTTTTTTACAGTGCTTATCCTTCTTGCACTTTGCAAGATAGTTCCCTCGTTTGACGATTCTTCTGCAACTACCGAAAGCGCACTCGAATCCCTTACAGCAAACATGATCGCGTCTACATTTCGCTCCACTCTTTTTGCATTTGTGACAAGTGCCGTAGTGGCGATGGCAGTAATTCGATCTTCCGCATTGCCGATCTCGTAAGCAATAATTCTTGAAAAGAATTTTTTGAAAATAATTTTGAAAACCATAAGTCATATTTACGATTGCATGCTTCATGCTAGATTATGACATAAAATAAATCAAAATTAGCGTAATCCAATAAAATTCGAAGAAGCGCAAAATATATACATTCTATCAATATGCAGTTCACGATTTTTATATTTGAGTCCGCTATTGCATCCAGTATGAACAGTAAAACCCCTTTCAAACAGGCATAAGTTAATTTTCTATGGCTAAAGTTTTCGACAAAACATGAAAATATACAAGGAAAGATTTTTTAGGTATATAATGTCACATTTCAACTGGACCATCATATTTTATGTTCCAAATAAGTGAACGACGACTTGATTACTTGTTGTAATCTTAAGATGAAGCTGTACGAATCCCTTACTGTCCTGTACAAGCCTACTAGAGAGAATTGGATGGAGGTGTTCCAATGTTGATTACGTTAGTTATTATAAGTAAAATATGTTTATTTACCCAATTTTTCTTCTTGGGTAAATATTCTAGTGCTTATAATTTCTTTACAAAACTCAAAAATCACCAAACATTTTGATTTGTAAGCACCAGATTTTTGGCCTCAGCATAAATATACGTATGATCACAAGCCCTGGTACTCGAATATATACCTGATGTGGATTGAGTGGGTTGCTTGAACTGTGATTTGACAAAGAACTTTGGTCGGGTGGGTTAACACTCCAAAGCCAACTGAAAATCACGCACTCGACAACGTTAAGTAAAAAAACATAGCATAGAAAAATGTTGATCAGTAGTTTCATTTCCTTACGATGGTGATTTTCTCAGAAAACAATGGTGCTGCTGTGATAGTGCTGCTCAAAAATGAGTTGGTGTAAACGAAGGACGAATTTTTATAGTGTAGTTGAAGTCATTAGCGTTGGCATGATATTGACTTTCAACAAAATTTGTCGCTACGAGACCACATGCTGTGCTTGTCAATCTTTCAGCCCTAAGTAATCAGCGAGTCAGTCAATTCGAAATATTTTAAATATTGTATCAGAATTTGATTGGTATAGTTAAAATACCATTCTCATGACTGTCTATAATGCTCTCTAATAACATGACATACTATTTTAAATTAAAATGAATATGGGATTCAAAGTACTTCTTATAATATATATTCTTACCAACATCGACTTGAATTCTGATCAAAGAACGTGAATTGTTCAACTCAAAAACGAACAAAAATTTTTATTGTTGTACGGGTTACGTAAAGATATGAATAGCTGAACATTGTACGCTATTTTCTTGTTGTAACCTTCAGTTAAATTGGAGAATCTGCGCGTGAAGAACTAAAGGCCATGCTACATGTGCAATTCTGTTGAAAGATGTAAATTTGCCAACTACCATCGGAACTTTTGTGTTTATTGCACATATGTTTTCTAATACATACAATTCGAATCCCAATATCATACCTCTCTCGAAAAGTGCATTGAAAGTTGCAAGAAAAATTGCATCGTGTAACACGGCCTCTAACGCCCGATAATGTCCGTGATTTGCATACCAATTTCGTTCAAGTGGTACACTAGAGTGCTCCTCCCAGAAACATAGCTCCTAAAGAATCATCAGGGACACAAATTAAATATATATCTAGCATAATATCTAGGATTCCTAACATTAAGCTTTACAAATTGCCACGTGATATGAAATTATTCGCAATTTCACTCATTTGGCACAACATTTGCTTCATTTTGACACATATTAAGTATATATCTAAACCAACCAACGTCCAGTTTAACAATAAATTCAACATGTATACCAATTATGTAATCATCTCTCCCACATGACTTGCACGAATTCACTGGGGTTTTGTATCAATGTTAATTTCAATACTGTAATATAAAAATGAAAATTTTAGAATCTTTTTAAACAGGCGTATCAATTTAACGCGAACATTTCAAGCTATCGATCTCTTCGGTCGCCTGCCATGCACTTATCTCACAAACAAGGACCTTCAAGCTCGAAACACTTATGGTAATTTACCAACCTCAAGTGCACATGCAGTTATTGCCACTTACATGTGGCAACGCATCCGATGGCTTTTTGCATATCAAATTCACTATAGCTAATTGCGCTGATGTTATAGCAATATATCAAATGCTGAAAGGATTATAACTAATATTATCAGCAACGACATTATCACCACACTTAAATCTTTGGTTGTCATGCATGCACGTTGCCAATAGAGTATATATAATATTTTTCTTCCGTTTTCCGATTGCTGAAATGATTTGCCTATAACCTTACTATATAGCTAAAATGGTTACATTTATTGACATATAATTATATCAGAAGCGATTCTTAGAAATATAAGCTACATAACCATTTGTTATTTTACTGCATTTCAGTTCAATTAAAGTTAAACCCAACCTTTTAGTTTATATAGAAATGAACTAGCTACTGTACATTGCCGGAAAGAAATACTTTTGTGAACTTTTTACGGTATGTATCACGTTTATATTTTTTACGTTATATATCACGTTTATATCGTTAAAGGATATTCGAGGGTGATAATGATTATCTAATCGTATCTGGAAGACCCCCTCCATACGATGCTGGTACTTAGTACTGTACAGTACTTAGTACTGTAAGTCTGCCGTTATACTGAGAAAATCGTGCACGGTTTCAACTGCTCACACGTACGCCATACCAGATGAATATTTTTACGTTTTGGCATTGCATGTGTTCGCTCGTAAGGAACTAAAGGAAAGTCATCTAGAAAATCATCACGGTTTCAACTGCTTACACGCAATACCGGATGAATTCTTTTACGTTATGGCATTGTTTTCGCTCGTAAGGAAGTCTGTCGTTCTAGAAAATCATCACGGTTATTGCTGACACGCGATACCTAATGAATATTTTACGTTTTGACGTTGTGTTCGCATGCACGTGCGGTGCCGGTGTAATATCTTTCTCGTTTTCACTAGCTTATCCCTGGCAAAGATGAAACGGTAAAATAAGACATTATTGACAATGTGCTGAACTACTGAAACCTGTTACGATATACAGAATATACAGTTAGTAATAGAAGAATGACTCAAAAGGTTTCAAATGATTATACGCGTTAGAAATTTGTTTCAGTTTCAGCGGTTTTCATTTAAACGGTTAGCGGCATTACGATTTCGCATTTGCCATACCGATATCGTGTAAATGCAATCTTTGGACCTAAGAGTCAGTTTTGTACCGTTTTCTAAATATGCCGGTATATCGGGATTTCTGATTTCATACAATCTCTTTCAACATAGCTCAGAATTGAATAACAATATTTGGCTAATTTTTCAATGGAGATTTTCTAAAGAAGTAAGCCACTTACCCTGCATGCGCGTTATCCACTCTTACCTCAAGTGCGCGAGCTAACCAAAAAACCTAGCTTAGATTAGAACAAAATTATCATCTATAAGTGCTTATAAATTAATATCTTCTCGAGCAACAAGATCCCTTAACAAGTTAGCTACCTATGGACGTACGAAATATCAAATATCGTCTCATACACTGGTCTTTCATTACGGATCCTTCTTCTCGGGAAAGCCAAATCTCGTTTAGAGAAAGACGAATTCCATATTTTTTTTAGATATATTTTCATTTATTCAATTATTTACGTTTAGTCTTTTTATAACTCTTAATAGTACTTATATAATTTGGTACTTGTACCTATTATAGTTACATTATTGTCAGTTAGTGCCTTTGGCTTATGGATGAACTGATGTCATTGACTCAAACCATGCACTTCACCCTAAATATAAGCTCTATAGCCGCTACGTTCTATCCAAACTATCTTGGCATTTCACCGTCGCAACGGTTGCGACACTGCATGTCAAGAACTTGGATCTCCGAGAATATTGACTCTGTAGCCAATCAATTATACATTAGTAAATGGCTTGAAATCCCAATACCATACAGCAACGCTGAGTATACTGTTTACTTAACCCGCAATAAATTTGGTCAAAACTTCTATCTTCCTTGACTCCTTCTGTCAAATTTACTCAGTACCAAGCCGTTTTTCGAAATGCCATAAAACACTCTTCTAACGAGCAAAAATTTTAGTGAATTGTGGAAATCCACCAACAATCAAAGTAATAACCAATATACGACAGATACAACTCCGCCAAAGACGTATTAAAAAAATAGAAACGCTCTGGGCATGCAGATAGACTTCAAAACCACCTGCCTAACCAATGATCCTTTTTCTCAAGTATTACCAAGTTCGCCATACCAAATCTCAACAGAGATCTGGTCATTTTCTCAAACAAGACTTCCTAAAATCAATTCCAACTTTACCATACGCTATATAAACAACTCTCTTCCCACGTGAGAAAATCTTCATGGGGAATATTATTGAAGTCCAGAATGTTCCTTTTGCCTCAACCCAGAATCATTACTGCACGTTGTTGCTGGTTGTCAATCCTTCCTGGAACGTTTTACACAGTCCATCACTCTAATCTATTTGGTTGGCCTTGAGCCAACCTGACTTATGAAATGACACAAAACTCAAATCAATCGGCTGTGTTATATTTTATCGAGTACATTATTGTTTCCATCATTAGATTCAAAAAATAATCACAAAGCTAGTGTAAACATTGGCCGTTCAATTCTGCTGTATTATACCATGACAGCAATTAAATAATGCTTTAACACGAGTTTCAAACTATTAAAACAGTTATACAAAAACGTCAGAAACATAGAAAAAACCTCAAACGTTGTTGGACCAGGAACTGGTCCCTAACCGCTGCTAATCTTCTTCTTGTTGTTGTTGTTAGGGGGCGACGCTCTTTAAAAAAACCCAGAGGCTCTAGCATTACTTGTTTGATCGGAATGAAACTTGGCACAATTATTCTAAGCAATATTCCGCATCGATTGACGGAGTTCGAATTTTTATTTTTGACCTTTGAAGCAAGTTACAAGCAATTCTTGATATATTTGCAGCAAATAATATATACATATCATTAATATTCAGCCTATATATAAGTAAACGCAAACAATTAGAAATACATTGTCCTCTCCATTGTTATAAATACAATGCAGTTCAGAAATTAAACTCGGTTACGCAGTTCCTGGTCCCTATAGTACGATCGTACTTGTTTTATTCTTGGATTCAGTCGACGGCTAAAAGTTTTACAATTATAGTGTGTTCTGTTCTTCAATATAAAATCAAAATTTACAAAAATTCATCAATCATTTCATCATCATCA